AGGAAACTAGAAGAATTGACAATACAACCAGGTGAATGTAGTTGAAAAATACCTAGCTACAAACTTTCAGAGCGATGGGGGATATTTGAAAGAAACTGAATAACAAGTAGAAGATTATGTTTGTCGAGACATGTTTTGGGTCATTCTTGGATTTAGACACTCTATATTCAACGGAGTTGATACACATTCGTGCTACAAGGGAGACCACATGTGCCATTGTAATCATTATGTGATATAATATATAAATATAAGAACATTTGAATTACCAAAATTGGAAAAACTGTAAAAAGAAAAAAAAAAGAGTTGGCGTTTACTTATATACCTGTTTTTGTTTACTTGAATTTTTGTTTTGGGTGCCAATTTTGCAAATGGACTTAGAAATTATCAATTATGGATTAAGTATTGGATAGATTGGATTTAACTAAGTTGGTTACATCGCGCTGAGTCTTGATTTTTGGTTAATTACTAAATGCCCCCCAAATATGGTTATTATTAAAAACCCTAAAAACACCCTTTTGTATAATTATATATTCTTCTCAGTTTTTGTTTCTTAATTCTTGAGGATAAAAACTAAAAAGAATTTGAAACTTTGTTCATAAATTTTGTACTCTTTATTTATTATACTTCTCTCTCTCTCTCTCTCTCTCTCTCTCTCTCTCTCTCTTTTATTCATTTTTTTAATAATATAATTAAATTTTGGCTTTATTTTTTTAGATTATTCTACAAAATTAATAATGATTTAACTATTCATATATTTATTTTAATTATAATTTGATTACATAAAATTTGTAACAAAGGTATTCAATTTTTTGGGTGAATTTGTTAGTTTCTGAAATCCTTGGAGTCCTCAAACATGGAGGAGAAATGTGTAATGAAACCTTATTATGAATATTAATAGACTTCAATACGGTGGTAGGTTATACGGTATTTTGTGGTGGAGAATTTTTTTTTTTTTTTTTTTGTAATAGCCGGTTATCCGAGTCAGTTTATGTGCACTCAATTTATCCCTTAGAACTCTAGAATTACAAGTCAATAAAAATTTTATGGTTATCCTTATTAACAACCAAAGAAGAGAGACTTGACCTCAAACCTTTTAGGGGCGTTTGCTCAGGGAATGTTAGACTACTAGAAGTTAGATTACCTTAAAGATTCTAGGAATCTTTAGGGTCTGCTTGGGAGTTTTTTTTCACTGGTTTTGAGGGGTTTTTAATTAGACTGGTTTTGAGGTGTTTTTAAACCATTACTTGTCAGATTTTTTATGCATTAGTTTTGACTGGCTCAAAAACCCCTCAGAATCATTATAGTGTATTTTTGAGGGGTTTTAAAAACACTCCAAATCGGGTGTTTTGGTTGTTTAAAATTTATTCCACAATACCCTATCCACTAAAAACTATCCCAATTACATCCAAAAAAATAATAATAATAATCATATTATGCAAGGCTTCAACCATATAAATATAAAACATTTTAGCAACAATAAAAATAAAAATAAAAATTATTAAATCTCATTTCTAGATGCTTTCTTGGAGAAGTAGAGGTACAATTTTTCAATCATTCTAGATGCTGCAAAAAATGGCGAAGAATGATAAGAAAACTTTATCACACTTTGAAGTTATAAAATACTAATAGTAGAAAACAAATAAAGAACTCTTACCTTATAATTGAAAAAAACAAACTCCAAGTACTAGTTAGAGTTGGAGTATTTTATGGGTATATTGTAAATTTATCATTTTAAAAAACTATTTGAACCGCCAAAAATAAACTCCCAAGCACAGGTTGGGTGTTTTAAAAACGGCTACTAAAAACCCATCAAAACCGCTACGATGGTTTACCCTCAAAACCGCTACAGTGGTTTACCCTCATAACCGCACCATAACTCCCAAGCAGACCTTTAGGAAAATGTGTTTGGTTAGTTTGAATAAATTGGTGGGTATGTTATTTAAATTATAATTATCTTCTAATTAAATATTATTATTATATTTTTTTTTAATATTGATTATTATTTGGATTAGATAACCCCCTTTGCATTTAAAACTTAGCAAAACAACCACATAATAAAAGTTAAAAAATCAACAAAGCACCCCACCAACCCAGCCACTGTCGGTTGCCAGCAGTTGACAACTAAACGGCGCACGGAAGGCAGGAAATGGCTCTGGCTAGAAATGGCCAGATCATGACAGAACTGGCCGTCAACGACCAATCGTGGCCGTTGACGACCACAGACTTGGCCGTTAACACCAGATCGATGACATCTGGCCATTTCCGGCCAGATCTCTAGTTGAAATGGCTAGTGAGGCGCACGACTGCCATTTCTGGCCTTTCTGGTGGTTGGCTGCGTGTAATAACTGCTTTATACACTATACTCATAAAAAAAACACATACACAAAATAAAGGTACACTAATAAATAGTTAGGCCAAAAATTTTCTTTCATTTAATATACATATTCTTTACATAAAGTTAGTATCATTTACAAAGTTCTCAAGAGTGTGGTGGACAGTGTAACTACCTCCCTCGCCCGCTGACGTCCATCTGACCGTGTACTCAACTGGAACCTGCAAGTATAGAAAAACAACGGGGTGAGCACAACTAATGCTCAGTAAGTAAATCCTCTACTTGTCTATCCCCGTAACATTCTCTAATTCGTCTATCCCCGTAACACATTCTCTTAATTCTTTCCTTACACTATTCTTTTCTCATCTCTGTTCTCTTTCTGTTCTGTTTCTCATATTCTTTGCTATACACCCCTGGTGTATGTCATGGCCCATCTTACCGGAGGCACGGCCGGAACTCACCTGCTCTTCGTGACTTTCTCTTTTTCTCTTTCTGTTCTTTCTATTCCTTTGTTTCTCATTCTCACTCATTGGAATGTCACGGCCTCATCTGACCGGAGGCACGGCTGGGCGCTACCACTCTACGTGACTCTGCTCATTTCTCTACCGATCAGATTTGGTCATGCATGGATTCGGAACCTTGGCCATGTGAGTGTACATCTTTTCTCTATATCTCTTGATGTCACGGCCCTTTCTTACCGAGGACATGTTGGAATCTCTGTTCCACTCTACGTGACGGTCACGGCCCCATCTTACCGGGGGCACGACTGGGATCACAAATACCACTCTCGTGACTCTACTCATCACTCACGGGTTCCCCATCGCACAACTTACTCTATTCTCTTCTTTATCTTGGAGTAGCTTGTGCACAATTCTCTACTGTTTCTCTAGCTACTTCTCATAATGTAGCTTAACTCTAGAGTAATTCTCTACTCTTTCTCATACACTTCTCAATGCACAATTAATGCATATGGATGGTTCATGCCATTAATGCACTAGGAAATCCAATTTGCAATGTTGCAATAAGTAAGGTTCATAACTCATTCTCATGCTTCTCTTAGGCATTTCATCAAACAACTCTGTGCATATAAAACTCTTCTCTAACACAACTCTATTCCATCCAAAATTGGAACTCCAAACTATATACTCAAACTCATCTAATTCTTCTCAACTCATCACACATCCCCACTTCTTATAAAGGAAAAGTATCCCACAAACTCAACATGAATACTTATCTCAATTTAATTTCTCAACAAGTAGACATATATCTCTACTCAATTTGTCAATAACATACATAAAACATGCATACATCATTTCTATTAAATCTCTAATCAAAAGAATCTCAAATCTCAACTTGGGTTGGGATTTACTTACCTTGTGATGTTGATGTTCCACTAACACTTCCCTTTTCCTTTAGTAGAAGACTTTTCTCTACACCTTAACAATAACACATTAAGACCTCATCACCTTTATGGGTAAAATTCACATCTAGAGTAAGAAATCTTACCTTAGGATGACTTAGTCAATTCTCTACCAAGATCTAACTAAAAACCCTTCAAAATCCTTGAAAGCTTGAAGGAGAAATTGAGAGGAAATGGAGAATGAATGAGCGGTGGAAGAAGATGAATGAATGGGTTTCTAAGTTGAACCCTTATTATCTCAATTTTCTCCATTCTTTCCCATTTTACCCTCACTCTTTCTTAGAATTCCACTTTTGGCTTTTAATTCTTTACAATTGCACCACCAATTAAACTATTCTCCATGCAATTTCCTTACATTTCACTCCCCACTTTTCCTGCTAATTAGGGTAGAATGGTCAGTGCCCCAAAGGAAGAATTCTCTAGAAACTTCATTAAACTTTTTGTTAGGCTCGTCGCCGCGGCGAAGACTATTTCTTCACCCCGGCGAAACTTCACAGAACCTACACCGTGGGTTGCAAGGCCTCATCGCCGCGGCAACGATTCTTCTTTCGCCCCGGCGAAGACAGTAACCCCAAAATTCCACCAAGTCTCTACATTCAGGCAACCAAACCATATTAACAATATTCTAAGTCAAACAAGAGTAAAGTAAGAGACATTAGCTACGTACCTCGAGTGGGGCGTTACATTGCGGCAGTGGTTGCCGACGGCAGGTGATGGGGTTGGTGACTTGAGTGGGCTGCAATTTATTTTGAATCAAGAATAATTTTTCCCAAAAGTTAATTAATTGAGGTGAAATAGTAAAAGCTATATTTATGTAAATAATTTAAAAATAAGGGTATTATTGTCTCAAATTTTATTAATAAAGGATAAAATTGTAATAATACCTAAAAAAATTGAGTTAATAAGATTACCTTAAATATTACTAACAGTAACTATTATTAGTATTTAAAAATTATCGAAATCTTATATATTTAACAATCAAACTGATAATTAATAATATAAATAACATAATCTAAGTAATCTCACGGTACCCTCTACCAAACGCCCAATAGGAGTTTTACGTTACTTGTGATGGGATTGTGTAAAGTAAACGGTATCCCGCTTATGATTTGATTAGAAAACTACTACGTAAATTGTGTAGAAGCGGGCGGGGGGGGGGGGGGGGGGTAAAAAAGAGAGTAAGATAGAATTGTAATTGGAGATAAGATAAGGTAACAGATGAGAGAAGATGATAAAGAAACCGAACGGCTAACCACCCACCAAACTCATTAACGGCTAGGAAATTAAAGCCAAAGCGGGTTTATTTATTTTCTACTTCGGCTTCGCGACTTTAGCTACGGTGACCGACGGCCGGATGGAAATCAGTCCAACCAACTAGTCTTTATCAATGGCTACGGTTACACGTGTCCCATTTATATCCTCATCAAAAACCTTTGGTCAATGCAGTAATAAATGTAGTCAGGTGGCATCATCAATACCGTTACTTACAAAGCTTTCGTTTCCAGAATCTTCTTCTCTCGCATATCACTCTAGCTATTTTTCATCCTCAATTGTAACGAAAAGAAGCAGAAAGTGTTGTTCTAGGAGAGCAGGAGGGGTGACAATAGTATCAATGGCTGATTTGTCTAAGAGTACTGTTCTTGTTACTGGTGCTGGCGGTAGAACTGGTATTTTTCTTCACCCGTTTTTATTTATATCTGTTTTATTCCATTTCATAAGCTAAACGAAGATGTACAAGTAGAATCTTGAGTATTTTTTTTTTTTTTAAATATATCTAGATTACTGAATTACCATTTAGCTAATCATGTTTTTGGTTTTTGTGATGCGAAATTTTGGATTTTTAGATTTCGAGGTTTAGGGTTTCTTTTTTTTTTTTTTTTTTTAAAAAAAAATTGTTTTGGTGTTGAATTGAAGGCTTTGTGTTTGTTACCATATGGTATGGTTTTCAAAGCTTAATTGGACATGAGAAATTTGTTGTTTTAACTCTTATTGTCATATAATTTCCTGTTTTGTCTATTGTGAAAACGAAAAGAATTCACTTTGTACTCATTTTACGATTTTTAGAAATGAGGCTGTTGTTTTTGTGATTAACAGCCCTTAAGAAAAACAATATAGCTATTCAATTTGGAGAAGATGATTGAATGGCCATTATATGATGCTTTATGCCTGTTATTACATGAAATTTTAGTGTTGTATGTTCTTGCATTACTTTAATTGAAACGCAAGGTTAAAGTATTCAATATATTCTTTATATCATTGCTCTTTGCCATCTCCACGGAAGTGATAGAAGTTATGCATTGCTCTTTGATTTTTTTTGACAATGGGATGGATTGTTGGTTTTTCTTTTTCTTTTTTTTGTTTGAATTCTTGCTTGTGGCAGGCCAAATAGTATATAAGAAACTTAAGGAGAGATCAGACCACTATGTTGCTAGAGGTCTGGTCAGGACTGAAGAGAGCAAGGGGAACATTGGCGGGGCAGATGATGTTCTTGTTGGGGATATTAGGGAAGTTGATAGCATCATTCCTGCAATCCAAGGCATTGATGCTCTGGTAATTCTCACGAGTGCTGTACCAAAGATGAAACCTGATTTTGATCCAAGCCAAGGTGGAAGGCCTGAGTTCTATTTTGAAGATGGAGCATATCCTGAACAGGTAGTATTTATGCCTTTTCTAGTTTGATGACCTTGGTATTCTATTACTTGTTTCTTATGTTTTCTGGAACATTGTTTTGCATCGTAGGTTGATTGGATTGGTCAGAAAAATCAAATAGATGCTGGTGAGTATCTATGTTCTTTCCTTTCATCGATTCAAGTACAATTTTTGTCAAAGATAATACATGTTTTAGTGTTGCTGACACATTTCTGACGAACAGCTAAGGCTGCCGGAGTGAAGCAAATTGTGTTGGTTGGGTCTATGGGAGCAACAAACCCAAATCATCCCTTGAACAGCTTGGGAAACGGGAATATATTGGTCTGTAATCTTTTCTTGTATGCTTTTTGATTAATTTCCCATTCCCACTTGTTTGGTCTTGTTTCTTTGTGAAATTCGTTTGCATTTTATTTTCAGTATTTGGTTTTTTTTCGTTTGAATTCATTCCGTTGTTTCTTCTATCATTTGTTAGTTTTCCCCATATCTTTTCTGAACAGCATATAAGTGAGTAAATGCATTTAAGACAACTTTATCATCTTTGGTTTGTTGCAGGTTTGGAAAAGAAAGGCGGAGCAGTACTTGGCTGATTCTGGTATCCCATACACAATTATAAGGTATTCACGTTTTCACATTCTAGTTCATGTTTAGTATTCTATCATTTGTTGTTATAATTGATTCTATATAATTGGCTGACTAGTTCCTATGGAAGCATTTTTGTGAGAACAAGTATAGGGAAAGATTAATACAGACATTTCATTTTCTAAAAACTTTTTTTCTTTATAAATGCATTAAAAGCACCTTATTAAATACCCAATTCACATTGCATATGGCACTGTAGTCTGTAGGTATAAGTAATATCAATTACAATTTGCCAACATAAAAGGAATTTGGTTATTCTGTTTTATGATCTGACCATAACTTTTCCAAATTGAGGTGCTTCAAAGATACATTAATTATGTCTAATTTCTTGAAACTTTGCATTGCTAACATCACTTGGTCTCCGAAAAAAAAAAAAAAAAAATTGAGATTAGAACTTTTGATGATCCCACAACCCATGTTAGACTGGTTCAGGTTGAACTCAAATCAGAACCAACTCACATGGATAGTGTTGAGTGAAGTGAAACCTCCACTTATAGAGAGAACTTATAAAGAAACATCTTAGTGTTCCTCTGTGAATTAGTTATTTCAAATTTAAAATCTAACATTGGCTTTCTGGTGAATTAGGGCTGGAGGCCTTCAAGATAAAGAAGGTGGTATCCGAGAATTAATTGTTGGTAAAGATGATGAGCTTCTTCAGACAGAAACTAGAACAATTGCCAGGGCCGATGTTGCTGAAGTATGCATTCAGGTACTGTTCAAAATAAATAATTACCACTGTGTAAGAATGCTTTTTACCTGATTCATTTGGCCAAACTTGCATTGATCGTGTCTTTTATTACAATCCTGAGTTATGTGAGTGGTTATTTACATGCAATTTTTCTTCTTCTTGTCAACAGGCACTGCAGTTTGAGGAGGCGAAATTTAAGGCATTTGATTTGGCCTCAAAGCCTGAGGGCACGGGTACTCCGACCAAGGACTTTAAGGCTCTTTTCTCCCAAATCACCACTCGTTTTTGATTCTCAGTGGCCTTAGTTGTGTTGAAGGACGATGTCATTGGCCGTCTGAGTTTATATGTAAGGTGACTGTCAATTTTATTATATGCGGATTGTAATACGTTTTATTGATTAGGGTAAAGAAGCTTAGGATTTATTAAACTATCAATTATTGACTACTCTGATTACTGAAAGTTTTATTGTTGGGATATTTATGGCTCGTTTTCTTTTTTTTTTCTTCGTGAAATTGTATGTCTTTAAAAAAACTATTTAATAAAAAATACAATTTTAAATAGGAATAGAAATATGAGAGTCCAATTAAGAATTGAAATTAAGAATTGAAATATGAATCCTATTGAGAATAGAATATCTCATATCCTACCTATAAATATAAAGTTGAGAACAAATTCAAGATTATGAGAAAATAAGAGAACATAGAGTATTTGATTTAAGAGTTATTAAACACCATGGGAAGAGTGTCTTAGAAATCGAGATCGTTTTCACTCTAGATATTGGGTTGAGCGTGATTAAAAACTATGATGTTTCCGTTCTGTTTGATGTATTAGATTTATGATATTGTATACCGTGTTTATGAAACTATAGTGGATTTTTCTCATCCGTGGACGTAGGCGGGCTATGTCGAATCACGTAAATAATGTGTCTCTTTATGTGGTATGATTTTATTCCTATATTATTTATCTCGAATGTATGTTTTTCGCTACATAATCTCCTAACACAAACAATCTATAATATGTCATTAATCATTTAATTGAACATCTACCTATGCAAATAAAATTTAAATATAAAATATTCTTAAACCATATTTTAACTAGATAATATAATTATTTTACCATATATATTTTAAAAATTTTTAAATAGAGTTAATCACATTAATCCTGTTGAAAGTATGATAAAAAACAAAAATCTTCTTTAGGCTTAAGAAATAATAAAAATTTCTCTTATGTTAAATTTTAGGTGTTAAAATAAATAATAGAGAGTAATTTAGTAATATTTATTAATAAAGTAAATCTCTACTTGTCTATCCCCGTAACACATTCTCTTAATTGTCTATCCCGTAACACATTCTCTTAATTCTTTCTTACACTATTCTTTTCTCATCTGTTCTCTTTTGTTTCTGTTTCTCATATTCTTTGCTATACACCCTCTGGTGTATGTATGGCCTCATTTACCGGAGGCACGGCCGGGAACTCAACTGCTCTTCGTGACTTTACCTTTTTCTCTTTCGTTCTTTCTCCTTTGTTTCTCATTCTCACTCATTGGAATGTCACGGCCTCATCTGACCGGAGGCACGGCTGGGCGCTACCACTCTAGTGACTTCTGCTCATTTCTCTACCGATCAGATTTGGTCATGCATGGATTCGGAACCTGGCCATGTGAGTGACTTCTTTCTCATATCTCTTGATGTCACGGCCCTTTCTTACCGAGGACATGGTTGGAATCTCATGTTCCACTCTACTGACGGTCACGGCCCCATCTTACCGGGGCACGACTGGGATCACAAAGTACCACTCTCGTGACTCTACTCATCACTCACGGGTTCCCCATCGCACAACTTACTCTATTCTCTTCTTTAGCTCTTAGAGTAGCTTGTGCACAAGGTTCTACTGTTCTCTAGCTACTTATCATAATGTAGCTTAACTCTTAGAGTAATTCTCTACTCTTTCTCAAGCTACTTCTCAATGCACAATTAATGCATATGGATGGTTCATGTCATTAATGCACGTAGGAAATGCAATTTGCAATGTTGCAATAAGTAAGGTTCATAACTCATTCTCATGCTTCTCTTAGGCATTTCATCAAACAACTCATGTGCATATAAAAACTCTTCTCTAACTACAACTCATTCCATCAAAATTGGAACTCCAAACTATATACTCAAACTCATTAATTTCTTCTCAATCATCACACTCCAACTTCTTATAAGGAAAAGTATCCCACAAACTCAACATGAAACTTATCTCAATTAATTTCTCAACAAGTAGACATATATCTCTATCAATTTGTCAATAACTACATAAAACATGCATACATCATTTCTATTAAATCTCTAATCAAAGAATTCTCAAATCTCAACTTGGGTTGGGATTTACTTACTTGTGATGTGTGATTCCACTAACACTTCCCTTTTCCTTTAGTAGAAGACTTTCTCTACACCTTAAAACAATAAACATTAAGACCTCCAACCTTTATGGGTAAAATTCACATATGAGTAAGAAATCTTACCTTAGGATGACTTAGATCAATTCTCTACCAAGATCTAACTAAAAACCCTTCAAAATCCTTGAAAGCTTGAAGGAGAAATTGAGAGGAAATGGAGAATGAATGAGGGGTGGAAGAAGATGAATGAATGGGTTTCTAAAGTTGAACCCTTATTATCTCATATTTTCTCCATTCTTCCCATTTTACCCTCACTCTTTCTTTAGAATACTTTTGGCTTTAATTTTTACAATTGCACCACCAATTAAACTATTCTCCATGCAATTTCCTTACATTTCACTCCCCACTTTTGCTAATTAGGGGTAGAATGGTCATTGTGCCCCAAAGGAAGAATTCTCTAGAAACTTCATTAACTTTTTGTTAGGCTCGTCGCCGCGGCGAAGACTATTTCTTCACCCGGCGAAACTTCACAGAACCTACACCGTGGGTTGCAAGGCCTCATCGCCGCGGCAACGATTCTTCTTCGCCCCGGCGAAGACAGTAACCCCAATCCACCAAGTCTCTACAATTTCAGGGCAACCAAACCATATTAACAATATTCTAAGTCAAACAAGAGTAAAGTAAGAGACATTAGCTACGTACTCGAGTGGGGCGTTACATTGCGGCAGTGGTTGCCGACGGCAGGTGAGTGGTGGTGGTTGGTGACTTGAGTGGGCTGCAATTTATTTTGAATTCAAGAATAATTTTGTCCCAAAAGTTAATTAATGAGGTGAAATAGTAAAAGCATATTATGGAAATAAATTTAAAAATAAGGGTATTATTGTCTCAAAATTTATTAATAAAGGATAAAAGTAATAATCCTAAAAAAATTGAGTAATAAGATTACTTAAATATTACTAACAGTAATATTATTAGTATTTAAAAATTATCGAAATCTTATATTATTAACCATCAAACATGATAATTAAAAATATAAAATAACATAATCTAAGTAATCTCACGGTACCCTCTACCAAACGCCAATAGGAGTTTACGTTACTTGTGATGGGATTGTGTAAAGTAAAACGGGAATCCCGCTTATGATTTGATAGAAAAAACTACTACGTAAATTGTGTAGAAGCGCGTGGTAAAAAGAGAGTAAGATAGAATTGTAATGGAGATAAGATAAGGTAACAGATGAGAGAAGATGATAAGAAACGAACGGCTAACCACCCACCAAACTCATTAACGGCTAGGAAATTAAAGCCAAAGCGGGTTTATTTTTTTCTATCGGCTTCGCGACTTTAGCTACGGTGACCGACGCCGGATGGAAATCAGTCCAACCAACTAGTCTTTATCATGGCTACGGTTACACGTGTCCCATTTATATCCTCATCAAAACCTTTGGTCAATGCAGTAATAAATGTAGTCGGTGGCATCACAATACCGTTACTACAAAGCTTTCGTTTCCAGAATCTTCTTCTCTCCATATCACTCTGCTATTTTTCATCAATTGTAACGAAAAGAAGCAGAAAGTGTTGTTCTAGGAGAGCAGGAGTGGTGACAATAGTATCAATGGCTGATTTGTCTAAGAGTACTGTTCTTGTTACTGGTGCTGGCGGTAGAACTGGTATTTTCTTCTCCCGTTTTATTTTATCTGTTTTAGTCCATTTCATAAGCTAAACGAAGATGTCAAGTAGAATCTTGAGTTTTTTTTTTTTTTTTAAATATATCTAGATTACTGAATTACCATTTAGCTAATCATGTTTTTGGTTTTTGTGATGCGAAATTTTGGATTTTTAGATTTCGAGGTTTAGGGTTTTTTTTTTTTTTTTGGTTTTGAATTGAGGCTTTGTGTTTGTTACCATATGGTATGGTTTTCAAAGCTTAATTGGACATGAGAAATTTGTGTTTTTAACTCTATGTCATATAATTTCTGTTTTGTCTATTGTGAAAACGAAAAGAATTCACTTTGTACTCATTTTACATCCTTAGAAATGAGGCTGTTGTTTTTGTGATTAACGCCTTAAAAACAATATAGCATTCAATTTGGAGAAGATGATGAATGGCCATTATATGATGCTTTATGCCTATTACATGAAATTTTAGTGTTGTATGTTCTGCATACTTTAATTGAAAGCAAGGTTAAAGTATTCAATATATTCTTTATATCATTGCTTTTGCCATCTCCACGGAAGTGATAGGAGTTATGCATGCTCTTATTTTTTTTGACAATGGGATGGATTGTTGGTTTTTTTTTTCTTTTTTTTTGAATTCTTGGTTGTGGCAGGCCAAATAGTATATAAGAAACTTAAGGAGAGATCAGACCACTATGTTGCTAGAGGTCTGTGGTCAGGACTGAAGAGAGCAAGGGGAACATTGGCGGGGCAGATGATGTTTTGTTGGGGATATTAGGGAAGTTGAGCATCATTCCTGAATCCAAGGCATTGATGCTTGGTAATTTCACGGTGCTGTACAAAGATGAAACCTGGTTTTGATCAAGCCAAGGTGGAGGCCTGAGTTCTATTTTGAAGATGGGGCATATCCTGAACAGGTAGTATTATTTTGCTTTCTAGTTTGATGACCTGGTATTCTATTACTTGTTTCTTATGTTTTCTGGAACATTGTTTTGCATCGTAGGTTGATTGGATTGGTCAGAAAAATCAATTTTTTTTTTTTTTTTTGTAATAGCCGGGTTATCCGAGTCAGTTTATGTGCACCTCAATTTATCCCTTAGAACTCTAGAATTACAAGTCGAATAAAAATTTTATGGTTATCCTTATTAACAACCAAAGAAGAGAGACTTGACCTCAAAACCTTTTAGGGGCGTTTGGCTCAGGGAATGTTAGACTACTAGAAAGTTAGATTACCTTAAAGATTACTAGGAATCTTTAGGGTCTGCTTGGGAGTTTTTTTTCACTGGTTTTGAGGGGTTTTTAATTAGACTGGTTTTGAGGTGTTTTTAAACCATTACTTGTCAGATTTTTTATGCATTAGTTTTGACTGGCTCAAAAACCCCTCAGAATCAGTATAGTGTATTTTTGAGGGGTTTATAAAACACTCCAAATCGGGGTGTTTTGGTTGGTTTTAAAATTTTATTCCACAAATACCCTATCCACTATAAAACTATCCCAATTACATCCAAAAAAATAATAATAATAATCATATTATGCAAGGCTTCAACCATATTAAATATAAAACAATTTTAAGCAATCATAAAAAATAAAAATAAAAAATTATTAAAATCTCATTTCTAGATGCTTTCTTGGAGAAGTAGAGGTACAATTTTTCAATCATTCTAGATGCTGCAAAAAATGGCGAAGAATGATAAGAAAACTTTATCACATTTGAAGTTATAAAATACTAATAAGTAGAAAACAAATAAAGAACTCTTACCTTATAATTGAAAAAAACAAAACTCCAAAGTACTAGTTAGAGTTGGAGTATTTTTATGGGTATATATGTAAATTTATCATTTTAAAAAACTATTTGAACCGCCAAAAAATAAACTCCCAAGCACAGGTTGGGTGTTTTAAAAACGGCTACTAAAAACCCATCAAAACCGCTACGATGGTTTACCCTCAAAACCGCTACAGTGGTTTACCCTCATAACCGCTACCATGAAACTCCCAAGCAGACCTTTAGGAAAATGTGTTTGGTTAGTTTGAATAAATTGGTGGGTATGTTATTTAAATTATATAATTATCTTCTAATTAAATATTATTATTATATTATTTTTTAATATTGATTATTATTTGGATTAGATAACCCCCTTTGCATTTAAAAACTTAGCAAAAACAACCACATAATAAAAGTTTAAAAAATCAACAAAGCACCCCCACCAACCCAGCCACTGTCGGTTGCCAGCAGTTGACAACTTAACGGCGCACGGAAGGCAGGAAATGGCTCTGGCTAGAAATGGCCAGATCATGACAGAACTGGCCGTCAACGACCAGATCGATGGCCGTTGACGACCACAGACTTGGCCGTTAACAGCCAGATCGATGACATCTGGCCATTTCCGGCCAGATCTCTAGTTGGAAATGGCTATGTAGGCGCACGACTGCCATTTCTGGCCTTTCTGGTGGTTGGCTGCGTGTAATAACTGCTTTATACTACTATACTCATAAAAAAAACACATACAACAAAATAAAGGTACACTAATAAAAATAGTTAGGCCAAAAAATTTTCTTTCATTTAATATACATATTCTTTACATAAAGTTAGTATCATTTACAAAAGTTCTCAAGAGTGTGGTGGACAGTGTAACTACTCTCCCTCGCCCGCTGACGTCCATCTGACCGTGTACTCAACTGGAACCTGCAAAAGTATAGAAAAACAACGGGGTGAGCACAACTAATGCTCAGTANCTAATATTTAAAACAAATTTGCAATGTAAATTCTTGATCATTGATATAATGGACATCAGAGAACTTATTGTAACTTATTTTCATACCAGCTTAGCAACTTCTAAATTACTAAATTGCATTAGAACAAAAGTTGTAAAATTACCTCCAATTTTTTTAAATAATAATCAAGTTACCTTCAAGGATGAGGATCTTTTAATTTAAAATTTTGGCATAATCGAGACCAATGTTCTGAAAATCGGACTAGGCCGTCCGATCGGACCGATAACCGGCGGCAAATCCGGTCCAGTATATATAAAAAACCGTTATTTTGATTTAAACCGGATTGGACCGCAGTTGGACAGCCGAAATAGTGCCGAATCGCGGTCCAATCGCAGCTCAATCCCATCGGATTCTGGCATCGTTCGAGGGCGAAAACACGACCATTAGACTGGACGACATCTCCACGACAAAACCCAGCCATTTTCAGTCGCCTTCGTCCAGCCTTCGTCACTCGCCGTCCACCTAAATTTTACACCACCGTTGGATTTCTTTTGTTGATTCCAGCGCCGATGGAACTCCCTAGCACCACCATCAAATTCGCCGGCACCTGTACATCAAAAGCCCCATGATTCCAAATCTCGATTAGCCGTCGATCGTCGCTGCCGCCACTATCACCTGTCTCTTCGCGCGACAGGGATGTTTTGGACAAATTTCAAACCTTAAGGGAGTATTATAGGGATGTTTTTGATGAATTTCAAACCTTTAGGGACTAAATTTTTTTTACAGAATACGGTCCAATCGACCGATCTAACCAGTCAAACCGAAAACCGGACCCTTGAACGGGTCATAGTCCGGTCCAGTTTTTAGAACATTGATCGAGACACAAATTGCTGACCACGGATATTTTGCAATCCTATAGATTAATGGACGTGAGAATGAATTTGGAGTTAGCTCACCATCTCCTATGTAACGCCCGGCATGGAGGTACATGATTTAATTTATGTTTTTATAGCCCTTAGTTAATTTTTGTTAAAGTGATTTTAAGAGAATATGAAGAAAATGCCTTAAACTTGCATTAAGGGTAAAATGGTCTTTTCACTCAAAATTAGTTGAAAAAGTGGGGAGTGAAAAGAGATAAAATTTTATAGAGAATGTATTAAAAATGAGGGCATTATGGTAATTGACTAAGGGACATAGATGAAATTTCTAAGAAAGAGTAAGAGCAAAATGAGAAAGTGTGTTTATAAACTAAAGTGTTAAGAGTTTGAAGTCATTACATCATACACCATTGCATTGTACTAAATTTAGAGCCAAAAATTTAAGTAAAATTTTTAGAAAATTTAAGTTAAAAATCTCAACCCCTAAAAAAAAAAATATGTTCTTTTGAATAAGGAAAATAAAAGTTATATATCCTCATAGTTTGACTAATATTATGTTTACAATTAAGTCATACAAATAAATAAAAAAATAAAAGTTAAAATAGTCATTTTACATCAAATTTGTATAAATTTTGTGGGGGTTGGTTTTAAACGAGGTCGTTTCACCACCTTAAGTACTAAAATATCCGGTAAATGCCAGCGACCTCAACAGCTCACTTTGACAGTTAAAAAATGGCAGTTGTTCTGTCTCTCGACCTCCATAAACCCTTCTGTACCGAGCTTCAGTTCCAAAACCCTAGTTTCAATCCCCTCAAATATCACCGTAAAAATCAAAACGATCGTTGCAGTTTTTTCATTCCCACGAAAAGTAAAAGCTATTGTAGCCTAACCGTGAATGGATTGAGCTCGGACTCGGACCAAAAGGCTCCACAAGGTCTCTGTCGCTCTCTCTCAAAAAGTTTAAATTTTTTATTTTTTGATTGTGAAAATTTGATGGGTTATGAATGTTAAATCAGATAACGAAGTGAATAATGTAGGCGTTAAAGCTGCACTATCTATGCTTAGATTTTACAAACGTAAGTCTGTTCTTTTCTCATTATTTTTGAATTTCTATTGTGATTTTGTTATTTAATACACTGAAATGAAATCGAGAGATTGTCAAATGAATTGGGTTCTGATAATAATAGGGGAAATCTCACCAATTTTGCCAAAGAGTTGTAGATATGTACCAACGTGTAGCGAGTATTCAATGCAAGCTTATAAGAAATATGGAGTTGTAAAGGGCACCGTCTTGACTGCGTGGCGTCTCTGTCGTTGCAATCCCCTTGGTATACACTATTTTTTTTTCTTCTCATTCTTGTTTATTATCAAGCATTTAAAGCCTCTTGGAATGGTTATATCAATTATCAAACATGTAGTTATATTGCCCTTTGTATTTTTAGCCGTGTTTGTTGTCAAAATTAGCATTCTTGTCACTTCCTTATGATGTAAGCTGTTTTAATCACATACGAACTGTTTTGTCTATCTTTAGGCGGGTCTGGATTTGATCCTCCGCGGTGGTTTGATGAGGAACCTCCACCTGAAGTATGAGACCATTTACTCTTATGGCTGCCAATCTAAAGGTACTTCACATTGTCATTTGGAAAACAAATACATATAACTTTTGTTTCCTTAGATAAGTAATTGGCTTAAACTGCTTATATGTTGATAGTTGATACAATAGTACAATGGATATATCTTAATGTTCTATGTTTTCTGAATATAGAAATTTTGTAATAACACTGTTCTGCTCAAGGTTATTGTTCAGTTGTCCCTTGCCTTCACAACTTACTTCCTGGATAGTTACTACTTTATTCCAATTGTTATTTATAATAATCCAATGAATGTTCTGGATATAACTTTGCAAACTTCTATAAACACCCTCTAGTATCTTCGCAAATGATAAATTCCAATTAATAATTTTTTCTAATCTGCAAACAGGAAGAAACTGAAAACTCAGTCATTATAATGTAGCTTAATTATTATTTTATTAAGCACCAAAAAGTTGTATAAGTATTAGATTTATTTAATAATTTTCAAGTGTTTTGGGTTGTAGGGTAATGGTATATTGGCATTGAAGCTTCTATTTTACAATATTATTAACTTTTCAATCCCAGTTTCCCAACCCAAAAGGAGAAAATAATATAAAATTGAATTACTTTAAATATGGACATATAACGTTCTTTAGCTACTGACATTAAGGTTTTGATGTTGGAGAGTGAAAGACATAATCGTTGAACTATTGGATTTAGTTGATAATTTTTGAGGCTTTGATTAATGGTCTATTTATCTTGGAAGCTTCTAGTTTTCAAATGCATTGACTCTGTGATCTCAAGTCTCCCAAGAGAGGAAATTACTAAAAATGCAGTGCATTGATATGGACATGTAATGTCCTTCATTTGCTGGCATCAAATAGTTTCAATATTGAAGTGTATAGGATTCAACAATGGATGGTGGAGCCTGATGAAGCTTGAGCATGTTGTCAACATCAAATTTGGTGATAACATCCTTGGTTGAAACTAAAATCACATAATCTTCTCTGCTTTGGGATACACTCAACTTATAGTCACTGCATTGTGAGTCTCTTGTCTAGATGGTTCAATTAGACAAAGTTAGGACATTATTAATCTTCCTCGTTAAAGGATAGCACAAGTTACAATTTGACTGGTAATTTTGTTGTCGCAGACTCAAGATGTAGGAACATTAACCCAGACATATAAAGTTTGTAGCACCAAGATTGCAATAAAAGCTGGAGAAGGCGGCTTTTGCAACATAATTCGTGCTATTGTTGCATGGTATATTACTTGTTAGATGGTGGAGAGGGTGTTTTTCGTCTAAGGTTTGTTCCCTTAAAGAACACAATTTATATTGTGGTCTATAACTATGGATTTTATGCAAGAAGTGATTGAAGCTGGCTTTTAATTTATGCGTCTATCACTGATGTAGAGCCAATTCTCCTGCATCTGTAATGTTCAAGCAATAAACCTTCTCTTTCTTATAGAGGGATACTATTATAAACCTCTTTTGGACTTTTGGCCCAACTTTAAATAACTATTTAGATAAGCATTCTTCTGCTAGAGATGGTCAAAATATGTTAGGTAAAATAGTGCTAGAAGTGTAATATAGTTCCTTTGTTAAGAGTGTTTCTTTCATGTGTAAGAAAACTTCTCTGCATTTTTACCTTCCTTTACACGTTCAAAACTTTGACCACACAATTTTGGTAATGAAACGTGTGAGATGTAATAAACTAAGAAGGTGACTTTAAAAAGATTTGACCGTTTGATCTTATCATATTTTTCAACCAAAGGGGTGTATATAAAAATCCCATATTGCAATACAAATACGTAAGTAAAGATCAATTCTCCCACGAGTAAATATATTATATTGGTAATCTGACTTTGTGGTTTAGATATGGTTAGGTTTGGGGTGCCTCTCAGTCAAATCATGAGAAGTTGCAAACTTGTAATATCTTGAAACTATCCTGACCAATCATCTGATTATGCCAGCTCCAAGTTGATAGAATTGCTTGTCTACCTCATCTTTTCTTATATATCTAACTGTCCTACTTTTTCACGGTCGGATTCCCTTTAAGATTATGCATTTTGTGTATTCATAGTATAAAATATTTATGCGAATCTCATAGGGAAAGAAACAGAAACACTACCTTTGTTAGAAAAGGGAAACTAAATTGAGGTATCTTTTCCATTAGGAAGGTGCTCTGAATAATATATATCACTATCAATTTGCAGGGAGCAGCAGTTTGTTAATATGCAAAATTTGAGTCCATTCATTTCCACTTGAAATTCCTATTCTGATATTTGTGACACAGTGTGTCTTCATCACTGCTGTATCATCATCCATTAATCCATTATTATTTGTATCTAACATGAATAAATGAAATAGGAATCAAAATTTGGAATGGTCCCGACAGGAACAACAGCTTAGCCGAAGTTGCCATGTGATTGGTTTCTTCAGGTAGACGAGGATGAATTAATGAATAATGTAGTGGGATTATCCGAATAATATCTCCAAGACCTCCACTATCAGCTCAAGCTCCAATAACTACAAGATGTCTCTGGAATGTGGCACCAATTTTTAAGTGGGCAACCTTATTTTTTAAGTTATGGGAGACTTCGTCTTGATTCTTGTTTTCTTGTATAGTGGTTGTTAAATGGCACAATAAACCACAACTCAAAACTAATAAACAATAAGTAACATTTATAAAGAATTGAACAGCAAGGGTGCTTGAGGTGTCAGGACATTTTTTTTTTTCTTTTTTAATACCCATAAATCTTTGGACCTTTCCTCTTTGCGAGTTTAAACTTTTAAAGTATACTATACGCCACTTGTAGACCCCACCCCACAACATGTAAATAGATTATTGAATAGGAGAAATTTGCATCGATCACTTGGTTGGAACCTTTCAGCAGCCCAACAATTACGTAGTATGAAGCAAAAGCCGAAAGGTCAGCGGTTAATATTATATTATTTACTTTAAAGGGTAATTGAAGGCCCGCACTCAATGATATTGGGATATGTTGTCATTGCACTTGGGGAACACCCGTGCACCTTGCAGGTGGACTGGTTTACAGTTAGGCACGCCAAGATTGTAGCTATCACAATTTATACATTTAATGTTATTTTATGTCTTGAAGTAGAAGCTGACTGAAAGCTCTCTCTCTCTCTCTCTATGGTATCTATAGTGTCTGGTAGGGGGAGTGAAAGGTCACTTTTGTTTGCCTAAAGATGATTCTTTTCTATTTTGAAAGATCAGTGACATCAGTCTCTTCCCTGTGGCATCATGGTTTTGATCTCTGTCATGTCGTTTAGAAGTTCCCGATACATACATACATATCCAGACTACATACATACATACATATATACATACATATATATTGGTGCAATGGTCCATGTGGCAAAGAATTACAAAGATAAAAGGGGTTCAGTACATACACAGCTCCTGGAATAACAATTGAGAATTTGAGAAGAAGTTGAGCTTCATATAAAATTCTGTCATACAATTTCCTCTACATGTTAATTTGGAAAATGATAGCGTGCATTTTTTACACTTGAGCTTACTAAGTTAACAGTGATTGAGCTCAGCCAAAACACAACATTATCAGTAAGAAAATTATACATGTTCTGGTTCTCCAACTGTGTAGAAGTGAACTAGGAAAACTTTATTTTTTCAGTACTTTAATATCCAGCCACCACATATACCTGCCAGTATACAAAAAATTACTCATCTTGTTTTACAGTAACATAAGATAGACTGAATGACTTAAAATGAGAACAGAAGAGAAAATCTTACCTGAGGTTGTCATATTTTCTCACTTAGAGCAACATAAAAGTGAGAGACCGAATCCAGGCTCAAGTTATCACAAATGCAAGATCACTACGCAGGTTTCCAAGCAGAAAGTGCATAGATGATTCTTCCCTTCCATCCTTGCAAAAGCCACCGGCTGTCTTCATCAATTATAAAATCTTTATGGTAAAAGGATCTCACTCTTTGTATTGCCCCCGTCACTATCTCCCGTTCTAAAGGAATCTGAACAAACCCAGCCCTAAGGTTTCGGACTTGCCACTGCTTGTAAGTCTCTGGCCTCTCAACTCTCTCCCAGCCCTCACAAGCTATAACATTCAAGGCCTCCCGGCCAAAGATCTCTTTCTCAATCAGCATCCTCTCACGATCTTCACAGGGTACAATAGTTTCAAGTATATCAAACATTGCAGAGAAATGAAACAGAGCCTCTCGGAACCGGGTTACAAAGAAAGGTGCATTGTAGGCCCCGTTGACAATCCCATGGATGAAAACATCCGGATTAATCTTCTTTATCAAGTTGAGAAAAATATTTCTTGCACTATCCACTGCAACAGTTTCATCAAGCAAGTTCTTACCTCGATACAAGCAATTAACAACCAGGAATTCGTCCCTATCAATTTTGAGATCCTCAGGTTGAACGCAGTCCCATTTTTTTGCTATAGCATGGTACTCAAAAGGCACCTTGAATTCCTTAGCATATTCCACTAAGCGACGTCCTGTTTCCTCAACTCCCTCTGCTGGCCGAAAACCAGGTTGGGGAAATTCTATTCCAGTAATCCGAAGCTTTGGAGGTCCACCAGGTCTCATAGAAATCCGCTGCAAAAAGGTGGGCCACTGGAAACCATAAAGAATACCAAAGTCTATGATATGAAGTCTTGTTGAGTTTTCTGCCAAGTTCCTTATTGTCTTGTTTGCGGTAAAATTGGAGATCTTTCTGAAAGGGCAGCAAGCAAGATACAGGTAATAAGCTTTCAATATATCAGCAGCTGATGTTCTCTTACTAACAAGGCCTTTGTAAATCTGGCTACCCGTCCCTGCCAAGCGTGCCTCGAGGCCATCTGCAAAGCATTGAGCCAATCTTTGATTTCCATCCCCAAAAGGAGAAGAATGCTGCCTTATCTGCTTCAGCAATTCATTTGCATTCCTTCGATCATCAGCAGCAACAGCTTGTGCACAATGAATCAGGAGAGTTCTCAAATCCACCACCTCTTTTTTCTCACTTTGTTTCTTACCACGACCCTTTCCACCATTAGATCCTTTTGATTGTCCATTCTGCTGCACACTTTTTTTTGATGCATTCTTAAAGGCTTCACGACGAGCTGTCATCGGGTGAGCTTTGCCTAAACTACAAAGCAACACCATATCAAACATCGCTGATCGCAATGGGGATTCTAGATAAACTGCTGCCAGCTTGCTGCTCCTCTCTTCTTCTAAATCTGTATCCTCTCTGTAAAGATTCTTCTTTCCCCTTGATCCATTTGGTGAGCAATCTTCCCCATCATTTTTCTCCACCTTTACTGCCACTTCACTAGAGCCTCCCTTCGGCTGATGAGATAGCAGTCGATTAACCTCAAAATTAACAAATAACTCATTTTCATTCGGTAGAAATTTACTAGCCTCCTCAACGCCCCTCCGGAATTGCCATATGGATTGGCTCTCATTATTCCAATCGGCGATCTGAAGGATACTGCTTGGAGAATCCACCAGTCCATCCACACTTGTGATTACACTATTTGAAGAACTATAAGATGACTGAGATATGCTAGAAAGTGGATGAGTTTGTAATTCAGGCATAAAATATTCACCTGGATTCTGAATCCAACTACTATCAACAAGGTAATTATTCACATCGCTACCACCATTAATACAATTATGGGAATTTCTAAAGGTATAGCTATCCTGAATCTCCTCATTCCGCTCAATATAAGAAAAATTTTGGTCAGGGGAAGGAGGGTACTTCTTGCCAAGAACATCATAGAACGATTTCTCAGCGGCCTGAAGATCCAAAGACTCTTGAAGCATGTAAGTCTTATCCTCCATATCTTCTTCCATAAGCATCTGGTTTATGTATCTCAAGACTGCATCTGAAAAATCACAGTCTTCCGGGGAGTCTTCCTCATGATTTACACTTGAAACTGAGGCAACATTATTCGACGATGAATTGGGTTGATAGTACTGATAATCCCTAAAATTATGATCTACAAAGATACCATTGTCCAATCTTCCACCAACAAGATTCTGATTTGGAAAAACTGGTAAGGGTTGATTGCTCAATTGGATCCCATTCACAGAAGTTGAGAACACCCTTGAACTTGGGTCCATAATCATCTATTTTTGGAAATACCCCTGATAAAACTTCAACTCAAAAACGCCTGAACCCAATCTCCCAAAAGTGATTTCCACAAAAAGTCACAAAATTTCTTCACAAGTTAGCTTCTACAATCCAAGTTATCAGACCCTATTAGACATTAAAATCAACACATAAGAAATGCCAAAATGGAATCAACAAGTATTAAGCTTTAAAAGTCCCACTTCATAAATTCAAATCTTGCAGAAATAATCAGATTCATTTATGAATCAAAAAGACCATAAAATTAACATAAACATAAGCAAAAATAAATAAACTTTAAAAGAGCAAAAGCATACCTGAATAAAACCCGCTTTTTGGGGGAAGAAGAAAGAAGAAATGAAAAGTGAGTTTGAGAGAGTGGAGAAAAACTTTCAGGTTAGTTCAGCTTGGTCCATCAAAAGGAGAAAGTAAAAGAAAGGCAGCCAGGTGAATCACAGCCGTTAATTTATATACTTGTCTTTCTATAAATTAAAGCACAGTGACTCTTTGTAATGTACTCCACTAAATGAGAGACACGTGACCGTGAGAGGTACGTTTTGGTTGATGTGGCGTTTCATAGCGGAACAATCTTAGTCATACCACCACTTTTGGGGTAATGAGAAATTACGAAAATGGTGTCGCGCACGCGCAGGTGCATAGAAGACGACGAGGATGAGAATGAGATGTAGGAGAAGTAATAAGAATATAATTGAAAAGGGAGAAGGAGACGTTAAAGTGAAGACGAAATTTCAATTTGGGGGAGAGAGAAGGTGGGGGGTAGTAAGGTAATAACAGATTGTTGCAGTGCGTGTCAATCGTAGGTTGACCCGCTCGTTTAAGTGCTTTCTGTACGCTAATGACGTTACCCAACCAACATAAATATTTCACACACTGTTTTTCTTATTTTATTAAAATTTTTTATTTTAATTTACAATTTTCACATGAAGAAAGCCAAAATAAAATTGCATGTTTATGAGGATAATGCCATGTTTATCCGGTCTTTCGTACCGGGATGGTAAAAATATAAATTGGTTTAGATACTCCTGATTATTAAAAAAAAAAAAATTTTTTGGATGCATTTATTATTTCCCGAAACCTTTAAGGGGGCGTTTGGTTCGCGGTAATATCAGATTATTGGGGTAATGTCATCTTATATTACTTGATTACCACGTTTAGTTGTCAAGTAATATAAGATTCTGGTAATCTTCAAATACCAATAGAAGTTACTATTGGTAATATTGGAGGTAATTCGATTACCTTCATTTTCTTAGGTATTCTGAGATTACCAGGGTTATCATTTTTTGTTACAATTTTATCCCTTATTAATGAAAATTTTGGACAATAATGCCCTCATTTTAAAATAAATTCATATTAATATCCTATTTTAATTTTACCCTTATTTAACTAAAATTTTGGACAATAATGTCCTTATATTTAAAACAATTTATAGACCACCGCCACTACCACCCAGCCACCACCGCCGACAGCGGCTAACCACCACGGACCGCCGCCAGAAACTCGTCGAAGTCCCTAAAAAAGAACGAGTTTCGGTGAGAGGCTTCGATATGGCCGTTTCCGACCATATTGATGGCCGGAAACGACCGTATCAGGCCAGATCTTGCCTAGATTTGGCCGATAATGGCCAGGGATAAACGGCCATATCGAAGCCTCTTGGTCACGGTGAGTTGCTGATGGGGACTTTCGAAGACTTCCGACGGTGGTCTACGGTGGCGACAGGAGGTGGGGGTTAACTAAATCTGAAATATTAGGGGTGAAAAGAAATTATTCAAAAATTAATATTAAAAATAATATTATATTAATATTTGTAAATGGGACAATTTAGTAATTTAAATAACATACCAACCAATTTATTCCCCATAACCAAACATATTAATATAACATACTCACCAACTAACTAAACACATTTTTTTAAATATTCTCAGTAATCTTCCAAGGTAATCTATCTTTTCAGTAATCTAATATTTCTAGTAATCTAACATTCCTAAACCAAACGCCCTATAAGTGCGTTACATTTTCCCCTAACCTTGAGGGAGAAATAGTTGAAAACCCGTTAAACAGCAGAAGAAGAAAAAGAAAAAGGGTTGAGATTTGAGAAGAAGATCACAGGAGGCCACCACCTGCAACTGCAACTGCAACTGCAACGACTAACAATAACATTATAAGTTTCTCCACATGCTTCCACAGCATAAATATAAAAATATTCATTTTCGTCCAATGTTATGGAGACATAAAAGCTGCTGCAGAATCCTTTTCATGATTTTGGGTCGGCAGATCTATTATATATATAATACTTTATTGTTTTTGATATTATGCTTTGACTGATGCAGCAGAATGTGAATACCACCTTAGATCTCCATCGTGCGCACTTGTTATAGATAGAAACCAATGACCATGAAGAATATTAAGAAAAATCGTATCCGAATTCTTGGACAAATGCATTGCACCGTTTCAATTGTCAGTCAGAATTATTGCTCCTGTTAACACAATCATATATACAGATCATCCAGCCCAAGGAATTCAGTTAGAATAACAATGAAATAGGAACAAAGCATATAATTTATATTTACATCACCACAGGTGGGGCAGCTTTACTATACACCCATGAACAAGGCAAAGCCTTAAACTGGTATTTTCAACTGTTGATAGGCCTGGTGTTGGGACCAGTAGGCGCGGGCGGCGAGGACCCTGTCTAAGAGCTGCTGTGGTAAAGGTTCTCCTCTCCTTTGTTGGGGCGAAATTCTTGCCGTGTGCACCAATGTCTTCCACTTATCCTGAACCATTTGAAACTTGTTATTGCTAGAAAATCTAATTCTGGCATGTGGACCATCTAAAAATAAACAAACCAGTACCTACAGGGAGCTTAACAAAAAAAAAAACGCTTTGATCCCAGCTACAGGAACCTTAACAATTTCCAACCATTTATTGAATATCATTCACAATATATGAGAAAGTATAACTCTTGATGGATCACCAACCTTCCAACTATTTATTGAATATCATTCACAATATATGAGAAAGTATAATTCTTGATGGATCACCAACCTTCAAATCAACATAAGTACGATGTTTTGCATTGTCAAAAGCACGTAACTTAACATCACGCCACCTGCAAATTTTAAACCAACTCAACACCTCACCTCAATGCAACCCAAAGGAAAAGGGTAATTGAAAGTTAAAACTTACCTTCCAGTTCCAAGTTTCTCAACTGCCTGAACTAGTGCTTCTACTTCTGAAACAGAGAAAGGTCTTCTAGTCCGGCGCTGCAAAAACTCAGAATGCCTAGATTTTTGATGAAATGGAACCACGGCCAATGCCTCCATAGTAATTGCTGGTACTGCAACTAGAGCTTGGGAATCTGGCATGGTATTGTTGGTTGAAATATCAGCAAGAGAACAAAGAGCATTAACGTTATTGTCAACATGACAACCCATATTCATCACTGGAGGTAGTGGAGAGACATCAGAAGGCTCCGGTTGTGGAGTCAATGACACTGAATGCCTGATATATAGAACATACCGACATAAATTTAAAGAGAGATGAAGTGGGGAAAGTAAACCCCAAGAGTCCCACTCCCATTGAAACCCACTCTAATCACTCTATTCAATAGGCTAACATTTACCATATCCTTACCCAGTTGGATCCTGAGGCATGCCACTAGATAACAAGCGAGAGTCATCAGTGTGCAAAGGCGGCATAATTTGTGCACTTTTGGGCTCCAACATAAAACCTAAATTACAATGTCTGCCATCATGACATATCCCAGTCTGAAGTAGAGTTTTACTGTCATCTCTTACTGTCTTTCCCTGAAGAAGGATACCAACATGTAGATCATCTCCAAGAATTGCCGTTGCTGCCTCCATGACCGTTCTCTACAGAAACACAAGTGTTAGATATCAGCAATGAACAACAAAAGACCAGTGTGACTGTAAGTTAAGACCTTTTGTCATGTCTCAAACACAAAAAAGGCCCTATACATGGTGTAAAGTTTTCAGCTTAAATTTTATCTATTTGCTTCTGCAAAAGGGAAAATCCAGCAAAAATGGGGGGAAAAAAAAGCAAACAAGGAAAATTATCACACACCTTCAGTGAACCAACAGTTGCAGTTGCAGGAATCTCAATAAAAAGTTCTGGAATCTTGAAAGATTTGATATGAAGTTTCACTATACATAAATTATAGAAAAATAGCCATGTCAAAGGCTCCCATTTGTAAAATGAACCAGTCAAAAAAGGGATATAACAAGAAAGTTTTCAGACTCTTATACCAATACTATCTCTAGACTTAGACTTGGGAGGTGCTTGTTGAGATGCTACTGAGGGTGATGCCCCTTTTGCTGCATGTAAGAGCTGGGATTATTCAGCCAAAAATGTAAATAACCCCAAAGCCTTTACCTAAACACAAGAAAGAAAATGGAGAAACAGAAAAACTGGCAGCCTTTCAAAGTTTCACCTGCAAAACGCTTGTCAACATTGCTTCTCTTGTAAGGAGAATTATAAATGCCTTCACGTTGAAACTCTCCATATCTGGAAGTAGGGATTTGATCAAACAACTTTCTCCTCTTGAAAGGAGAAATCCTTTGAGATCTTTGACGTGTATAACAAGGTTTACCATAGTAGTAAACCTGTTTCCTTTTCCAATCTAGATACATCAATCCAGAACCAAAAACAGTTATTGATACACAGATTATGGAAGTCAAGTCATAATTTCCTGACATCAATAGGACAAATAAAAAAAAGAGATCCCACCAAAATAAAGGGCCATAACAAGAATTTATACTGGTCACAAACTCATAAAACTCAATACGGCGTGTCATAATACCTAAATTGCCTCCGTAATAAGAGTGCAAACTCCACCATTTATTAAATGATAAAAAAGGCACTGACCAGTTTTAGAATAAGCTCCCCCTTTCAACTTTGGAGCTACTCTCCAATGTCTGGCTGCAGATAGATTCCTCACTCTTTGATCTACAACAGTAGCTAAGGGCTTACAGGCTGTCACAATCTTACCAAATTGAGTGTACCCAAGAGAAGTTTCTTCATCATCTCTCGTATCTACTTGTAAATCAGCACAGCTCCCAGAAAAAGGTCCAAAAGTTGTACAGCCCATAAACAAAGATGCCCTTAAATTACTTTCAGGACTGCCCAGTGAAGGAGGTTTACTTCCTCTCGAGGCATCTTCACCTAATTTGCCAAAAGGACCCCGACTTGCACTCCTTTTGCTGAAGTATGACCACTGTTGAGCAGAACAGACCTTGTCTGCCTGTCTATTTTGAGCAATGGATAGTTTTCCTTCACACTTCGTTTCAATTTCACTATCCACATGGCCTCTGAAAATTTTCCTGAAATGGGGGGAGACTTGACCTACAATGCCAGAACGGCTTCTGCTTGCATTACTGTCATTAAAATGGGGCCAGTGTTCAGAAAAACAATTTTTCTCCGACTGATCAAAGATTTTTGACCTTGAGTTAATTTTCAAAGTGAAATTTCCTGGAGAATGTGAAAACTCATTTGCTGAATAGCTTTGATGGGGCCCTTGCAGTCCAGGAACATGGATAAAAGTATTCTCCGCACAAGTTCCTAGCTCGTGTAGGTTTGCCTTTAAACATTTATCTCCATCTTGTTGTTCCCATTCCACAATACATTCATCAATATTTTTCTGAACCTCGCCACAAGCAGCTTTAGGAGCAGAACTTCCAGTCTCTTGCAATAATTCACCAGCTACACTAGCCAAAATTTCAAAAGCGCGTACCGCATTGTCCTCATACTTCTTCCTAACTGGTACCCTCCCCTAAAACCAGTTATAGAAATTCATAAGATCAGAACATCAACTCTTTATACACAAAAATAACTTAAAAAGGCAACATTGGACTGGAAGCATTTGTTTACCCTAGCTGATCTAGATGCACGAGGAACCACAGGCACCTCATAGCCACTGAAACCATAACCCAACCTCCTCTGCAACACCATATCTCATGCATTCATTACAAAAAGAGGAACTCATTAAATAAAACAAGCTGGCTAGCTTGAGTATGCAGACCTAAAAACCCCTGAAAGGAAAACATAATTGGATGTGATTAGGGCTTCTACAATACAAGCATACAAAAATGCACCATGATGGTATCTTAACTTCAAAACAATGAAACAAATTCTGCACTTGCATATAACAGTGGAGAACATAGTAAATGAGTCAACACAGTAGACAAGAATAGAAATTAATAAATGAGCATTTCCAGCTCTAAAAACATCCTTATTTCAATGAAAGAACGAATTTAAAACTTTCAGATAAAATTCATTAAAATTTAAGTACATATATTTTTTCGACAGGGGGGTAAGAAAAAAAGACACAAACAAGAGCATCTGCTGCCAAAAAGTTGGCCACTGAAATTCAGTAAAGATGAATATCCAATTTGGTGCTCCAATCCCATAAAAAGTAAACACATACAAACAAATATAAACTTCACATCCAAAATTAAAAAAATAACTTCTTTGAAAGAAATGAATAAAACAAATACAAAACCTTAGATTGGTCCTAATAGATGCCGCAAAATCTTTGCAGATTTTACAGTTTGATTGTTTATATATAATCCCCAATCAGATAAAACAATTTCACAAATAAAAGTAATATTTTTATATTTAACATATTAACTTCAACCAAATGCAGGAAGTTAATATTTTCCAAAATTGTCATGATCTGAGAATCAACAATTCATTAAACAATTCTTACAGCAAGAGTAAGTGAGCAGCAGAAGAAAGATCATAAATCCTAACCCACTGCCAACTAAAACTACATTATACACAAACTAATAAATATTAAAAAATTCCAAACTAAGATAATTACATATAAAAGAGAACAGAGGAAATTCACCCCATCTCTGGAAATAGAACATGAAAATTTGAGCAAAAAACACAGTATACCCTTTCAGTTCCTGATATTCCAAACAAAGGAAAAAAATTTGGATATTTTGTTCTTTGCGTTTACCCAAAAAAAAAATAAAAAAAAATAAAATCAAACAAATAGCAAAACCCTGACATAACACACGTCCTAGTAAAGCAAACGAAAATTATGAGTAAACTAAACCCTGACAGAACTAAAGCGCAACAGAAAAAATAAATCCCCATTAACTTATACAACCCAAAATTTACGTACTCTAGCCAAATGGGTTTTCACAAAATACCCAATTGAACATCAAACTTAAAATGACAAAAGATAATGGCTTTTGTGCAATAAGAAATTAAAATTTTCAAATTTCACATTCCACAGCAGAAAAGTAAATGGACAGAAAGAGAAAACTCTAAAAGGGAAACAAAATCTGAACTTGTCTCATCCTGAGGCAAAACCTGTATCATTTGATGAAACTATACAAAAAAAAAAAAAAAAATAATAAAGTTAAAAGTAAAACCTTTGCCTGAAAACAGACATTCAGTTAATTAAACATGCTCAAATCCTAATATTTAAAGACAAAACACAAACTCCAACCTTACAGTTACCTTTTGTCTGATCAACCAAAAACCCCCTGAAAAGTGAAAACCACTCAACAAATAACTTTCCTTAAACCCACTGCCACCAAACTCTCCTTATTAATAAAAAAAATGAATTAATAATTCGGTGAGCTTTTAACTGGAATGACCGGTATCATCATGTGAGTTCACCGGCTAATGAAGGTGAGACAAAGCACGTAGGATATAGGATCAGTTCCACCATTCAGGGTGATCCATTCCTTGCCACATGAGTTCTAAAGTTTACACGTGGTGGCCTCTCCATGCATGAGTGTTAATCTTATCTCGTTTTGTTGCTCTTAACTTGGTCTTTTTGGGCAACAATAACGTTGTAATGTTTCAAATTTATTATTACCATAAAAGATAGAACTCATGCCATCTATGACTTTTATTTGTTTTATGTTTTAATTTTATTTTTGAAAGATACGGAAGAACGTTAATTTGGGGATAAGGATTAGTTTGATTTTGTGTAGAACACAGAAAATAAGAGTTGGGAAAAGAGTTAATTGGCGGTTGAACTTGTATTTCTCCTTCCGAGAAAAGTGGTTCGGCAAGAAGCGCTATGTCAGTTCCTCTCTTACACGTGTAATATCGGGCAACGTGCCCCTGTTTCTCTCCCTCAGCCCGGCCACTCCAGCGTCAATTATCATTGCCACGACTCGTGATCTCCTAATTTCAATTCAATAACACTATACAAGCCGGAAAAGTTACATCGAAATTTGTATTGGCCTACGTTTAACATGCATCTAATTTTTTTTATAATTTTTTTCTAATGAATGACTATCTATCAAATTTGGAGGTTGTTCACTAATATAGACGTCTGTCCATATAATATGGACGGACGTCTATATACAAGAAATTGGCATCCCTATTTAAAGAATGTTCGTTCATAAATAAAATATAATAAAAAATTTTATAAAATATCATAGACAGCCGTTCATAGGTTGTGGACTACCGTCCCTTAATTTTGGACAAGCTTCCACAAATATTGCCAGTGGTGCAGTCCATTTCACTGCCTCAAATAATGACTGTGGTGTCTCTCTTTTTCTTCATCTTCATTGCCAGTGGTGCAGTCCATTTCACTGCCTCAAATAATGACTGTGGTGTCAGAGATTTTGATATGGAAAAGTATCAACTCTTTAAGCATTTCCGTTTTCCTTGATGAGTGAATGTAAGTTAGTTACATTCAACAGTCTATCTGTCCGTATAGTATGTGATGCCTTGGTTGACATGGAGGGTTTTGTGCTTCATTTTCTAGGCAATATATGAAGCACTTGCAGGCTGAAGCTTTTAATTGAATTTTTTTATTTTTTTTTTATTTTGTGCTTTTGCAGCATCTTCGCTGAGTCCTGATGGTAAACTTCTAATAATTGTTGGAGACAACCCAGAGGGTATGTTGGTGGATTTTAACACTGGAAAGGTAATTATCTATACTGTTGTCCATATATCTTTTTCCCTTCCTTTTTTCATTTATTTTTCTGGAAGCTGATTAAAAAAAATGACTTGGTGTCTACTGGTGCATGTATATCTAGATCCTGCAAATAGAAATTAAAGCATTTACTGATTTATATTTGTAATTTTCACAGACCATCAATTAATTGTCTAGGCACTTGGATTTCTCGTTTGTATCAGCATGGCAACTTGAGACGAAGAAAAAGAGAGGAGGAATGAAGATGAAGAAGAAGAAGAATGGGTTTTTGTTTAGAATTTTTTTTTTTTTTTTATTAAAAGAATGGATGAAGGGACTCCCGTCCAAACGTAAGGGACGCTCATCCAAAATTTATGGACGGTCGTCCCCAAATTTTTTTTTTTTTTTTCATATTTGGGTCAAGGACGGGCGTCCATTATTTGTGGGCGCCCGTCCAAACTTAAGGGACGCCCGTCCACAATTTATGGACGGGTGTCCAAATTTTTAATTTTATTTTTTAAAACAAATTAAGTTTGGACGAGCGTCCATTCCTTATAGACGCTCGTCCAAACTTAATGGACGGGCATCCCGTATTTGCGAACGTCCATCCAAAATTAAGGGACGGCCGTCCACAACCTATGAACGGCCGTCCATAATGTTTTATAAATTTTTTTATTGTATTTTATTTATGGACGGGCGTTCTTTAAATGGGGACACCCATCCCTTGTATATGGACGGGTGTCCATGTAAGTGAACAGTCGTCCAAATTTGATGGACGGCCGTTCATTAGAAAAAAATTGTAAAAAAATTCAGACGCGTGTTATATGTAGGTCAGTACAAAATTTTGGTGTAACTTTTTTGGTGTCCGTAGTGTTATTGATTTCAATTTTTTACTTCACTTGGCGTCTTGGCGACAAAAACAAGACAGTCTAATTGTTCACTGAATTTTGTGCTCCAACTAAAATGATAGTCATATTTGGTGACCAACTAACGTGAATACCTATTAAATTAACACTATATTATTTAACTTTAACAATAATATATATAACTAGATGGCACGTCCGCGCGTTGCACAGATTTATTTATTATATTATTTTTATTTTATTATCAAATTTTTATATTTTAGAAAATTGTAAACGATTATTGTTTTACACAAAAATATGTCAAATATTGAATATAATAGAACATTTTGTTATTGTTCTTTTTTTTTTTTTAATTAGGTTTTTATGTTTAAAGATTGTTGAGAATCGTTATATGATTGCCATTTAGGATGTCGTTAATTGGTTCTCATATTTGCTGCTTATTGGTGTTGATAAAATAGAGATGATTCACATGCATTCAATTAATGTATGCAGTACAAATCCTTCACATTCCTCTTTTAATTTGATCAAATGCAAGTGATGGAAGATTGAAATGGTCAGTTTGTAATTCAGCAGGAATTGAATTAATTGAATTCAATACATAGAAGTTGAAAGTCCCACAACTTATAAAAGTGGTTTTGACACAAATTAATTAATTAATTGAAGAACGAAATAATATTAGAATATTTTAGTGATAGGAATATATTCCCTTTTCAAAGCAAAAGGAGAGTTGCAACACTTTTCTTACAACAATTTGGTACATAATAATATAATTGAAATGACAATTTTGCCCTTCTTAAAATTAGTAGTTCCTGCATGGAATATAATCATTGCTTTGAGGTCCAACAGTTAATCTTTCACCATTTTAAACGGTGACCCAGCACCATGAAATGAGCAAAAATAAAATAAAATAAAACTTGTCACTTTATATCCAACACAAACTCTATTCGCCAAAAAACACAAACTATTACTGGCTACAGAGTCCATAACAAAAACATGATAACCTATCTAAGAATTTAGTTTACAACTTTTTGATAATAAAAAATATGATTCATTGATAAACACTTTGCAATATAACATGTTTATAAGACACAGAAAAACAAAATAAATGGACAATATTTTTTTTTTTTTGAATGGTTCATACTGTGTCGAGCCAAAAATGAAGTGTTTATTAAATTATTTCGAATGTTATCCCCTCACTTCCAAAGGTTGGGCATAATAAAGGAATCAAAACTGAATCAATTACATTCAGAATAAATCAGTAATAATATGAAATTTCATAAAAAACAATGGTTTAAGTAAGCACCTGTGAGTGGGGCAATGGCTGGCTACATTGGAAGACCACTTCTGGTTGCTCAACAGGTGGTGTATAGGTGTGTGTGTAAGTGGAACAACTTTTAGTCAAGCACAGAGAGAAAGATGGGAAAGTAGTTCCAAGCTCCATGAATATATCAAAAAACTGATAATGAAACAGGCACATTGTTCTCCAAAGAGCTTGATACTGGAGCTTAGTTCGTCCTTAAGTCAAGAGGTTAGTCAAATTAGCCAAATATGAATATGAATATCCAAGAATTTGTCAAACATCCGCATATGTTTTAATCAAACTTAAGTTCTATGCAAAAGTTCACTAAAAACTTAAAAATTTCTATTTAAAAAACTCTTCTGCAAGATGTTGAGTTTATACTCAAAGAAAATAATGGGTTACTAAATTTAGTCTAGTTGCATAAAAGCATCGAGAAAAAAAATTCAACTGCATTTAGACATTAAGAAAACTTAAAGAATAAGTGTTTTTAAGATTACATTAAGTTGGACATAAATCATCAAATTTTTACCTATAAAAGAAAAGATTACCTTTCAAATATGGTCTTTGTTTCCATCATGTTAGCTGGGGGTTGAGAACTAATCAAGTTCATTTATGATTAAAAAAAAAAACAATTAAAGGATGTACTCATTTATCCCATCACACACACATGCACATGCACACACATAAACACATACGGTATATGCATTAAATGTGACAAAATAAGAGAAAGTTGTGCAATTCTTGGAAGCAATGCATTGTGCAGTAGCTAAAACGTATCATATCCAATTTGATGGAGATATATGGACAAAACCATACCATTATGTTATGTACCATAATCAATCTATAACTTCACATGAAATATATGTAATGTATGAAAGAAATAATACCAGACATTGACGGAGTTAGAATGCCATCACCAATAACCATATTGGTTCCCAAAAGCACTACAGTAGCAATAGAAGTTATTCACTCCTCAATATGATTACGTTTCATTAGTTTTCTAGCAAACTCTTTGGTGATACAAAGGGCTGCAATCTCACAATACAAACATCATAAGTTCACGCCTTAGTCTAACATATCATAAGAAAATAATGAGAAGGAAACAAAAAAGAAATGAAACCTGTTAGAATCATTCACAATGGCTTCAAAAACAACCTCATCAACCTATAGGAAATCCCAATTCAGTTAAATCACAAAAACAATCAAACACTGCCATCAAATTTCCAATAAACATTTGAATTATTCACAAAAACATACCCGCCTAACAAGGCGAAGGCTAACACGATCAAGAATCTTGAAATCAGACATCTTGAACCTCATAACATGCCCTGACTCTTCTTCCTCCATAGAAACAACCTCAGATTCAACTCGAGAAACAACCTTCCTCGAAGATGAACACTGAACTCCAAAACTTCTCATCTGAAACATCACACATGACTTTGACTTCCCATAAACTGCCTACTAATCAGCCTTGTTGAAAAATTACCACTTAAACTTCATCTCTCAACACCCTCCAAACCCGGACTAGAACCAATCCCACATATTGCCATATAGCCAATCTGTAAAAAGACAATTTTGGATCATTCTGAGAACAAAAAGACATTTAGCTCTCATGTCATTTTAAGGAACATATAAAAAAATCAATATTTAAATCTAATTCATTGAATTATACGCACATATAGAATAAGTTTAAGTTCAATTGTTGAGAAACTTATTCACCGCTTAATTAAAAAACTTTTAAAATTTAAATCCAACTTAAGTTATACAATGAAATGGAATCTTTAAGAAATTGATTAAAAGGTATAAAATAGTAATATAGAATTATGCATTAACTGTAGAATAAACAGTATTTATATTAGCTTCTGTTATCATCATTCATGGGAACAATAAACTGTGAATCTTTTATTGATTTTATTGATAATAGAACTGTTTATATATATAGTTCTATTTTTTTTCCTTGAGGAATACCAAGTTCCTTTTCTTTGGCAATAATTAGGGATTCACATTTCCGTAAATCAAATATTTCATGTATGTTTGAGCCTGTTATTTCTAACAAAGCATTCATTATATCTCTGTTTATCACTCTGTCAGTGTTGAGTTTATCCAGCGTGACTTTAAGGTTTTGTAGAATACCTTCCAGTTCAGCCGAACCATCTGACATTGCTGCTTGACCTGCTAAAACTAAAAAAATGGACATGTAAAAGTAGATATGTAGAATGAATATAAGAGTAATCAATTCATGTTATTTACCGCACGCTTCTGTTTGTTTGGATTTTTTATTGACAATAGTGAGTCTTTTGTCTTCTCTTTGTTAATGATATATATGTGAAATGAAAGAAATATTTAAAGGTTTATAGATTGTTGAATTCTCTACTCTTATATAGCTTTAGATGTCATTAAGTAATATTATATGATAATTAATGATTACAACAACTATTCATGTTATGTTCAATGTAATTGGATTATTGCTAATTAATATGACTTTTGATATTTTTTAGTAAGTGTTTGCATGTTATTGGTTATGGTTATTTTGATTTAAATGTTTTATTGTTATTGTAGGAGTTTAAAATTTTCAGACCAACCAAAGAGACACAAGATAATAGAACGATGAAACCACCGATTGGTTCTCTGATGATAAAAGAGCGAAAGAGATTGCTTAAGCTCCTAAGTTCGAGTCCTCTCAAGCACTAATAGGGATGATCATTAGAATATCTTATTTGACTGACAATTCCAGAGCTGGCCAACTTGAACACGCGGTGATTAAAAAAAACCAAAAAAAAAAAAAAACCCTACGTGCAATATGAACAAAAACATGACTGCATAAAAGGCTTTAAAATGATCAGTCATAATTTGGTACTAGCTAACACAACAAGAGTGGATAAAGAATTAACAAATACACATAGCATATAGGAAAATCTGTAAGATACTTGTTCATTCAGCAGCCAAATCTCCATACTGCCAGGGGTTAAATTCGGTTGACTTGGCGTTACTACTCTCTTCATCGCTATTTGAACTATCTAAAGCCGCCCGGTGTTCAGCATACTTGCCATTGTACTTGTATACCTCCAATTCACCCCAAGGTGTAGGGGCCACTTCATCAGTAAAGTCAAACCATTTTGGAGTAAACTTATCACCCTTGGCCTCCCGAGTTCTCTTTTCAGTTCTCTGCCTCTCTTCCAATCTAAAACACAGAAAAAAAAAATGATTATATTTTAGTTGAGACATTGCCTAGTTGAGTATTTAGAAACAGAATAGCACTCCATTGTCGTAAATCAAATCAACAACAAGCTTTAACGCCATATTAGGAGATTAGGCTCTCTCTTTGCTCAATAAACTTCAAATAAGAATTAAGATATGTGAACAGTACCAGGCATGCATGCCCCTGAGTGAGTGTGTCAGTGTGTGTGTGTGTGTGTGTGTGTGAGAGAGAGAGAGAGAGGACCTGGTCTTTTCTGAACCAGCTTTTGAGAGGTCACCGGTTTCTAGTGCACACCTATCAGGACGTAAACGAGAATCCGACGACAACAACTTCTTAGGAGCAGTATCAAAGCTGTTTAACTTGTGAGCAAAATATGTATACTGATGTTTGTCATTTTTTGGTGCATCAGCAACTCTCCAAACCTACAAGAAGACAACAAACTAATTAATAACAGAATGTATGGAGGGTTTTAAAGGTTTGTTGAAAATTTTCAAAACTTCACGCTCTTTTTATCAGGAGGTTCAACCAAAAAACAAATTGGAGATTAGTATTAATTGAAGCATACAGAAGTTTTTCCAACTGAGTGATTTGCAATTACATGGCTAAAAAAGGTACAGAAAACTAAGAAACTTGAAAAACAAAACTAACCTCCTTTAGTTCAGTGCCTGGAAGCGGTTCCCCGTCCAAGTCACAGGGTTGGTAGTTCATTGACTCATTCCATTTCCCAGTCATCAGTATCTTGGGTTCCTCATCAGCATTATATACATATCCATCCACTTCATAACGACCAGATCTGCAAATGACAAGTTAAATTAAGTATAACAATTCAAACACACATTTGTATGTATCAACCAGCTACTGTTCTCCCTGAACCATATAGGGAACACAAAAAAGATTTGAGCTTTTATATTGGTCCTTTCTTTCCATGTGAAGACCTGCATGATCTGGTCAAGCATTTCAGCCATAAAAAATACATATGGCTACTTTTAAGGGAAAAAATCATCAAGACCATTCTTAGAAGCAACATAACTAAGAAAAGATACACTCAAGCTTGACAAGCTACATGCAATGATGAAAAGAGTGTCTAGTTAATTATGCGAGTAATATTACACATACAAAGAAATCTTACAAAGATTCCTATACATAGTGATGTGACAAAAAATGAATAAAAGAGTGAATATGATAAATTTGACTTTTTTGTATTCACTCTTCTATTCATTTTCTACCACATCATTTTGTATAGAAATCTCACAAAGATTTCTTTGTACGTCTAGCATTACTGTAATTTTGCATGCTACCTTATGGCCCCCAAAAAAATATAGATTGTCTCCGAGACAGAGTAATCATTAAAATCACCAAACATGCACTACAAAATAAGTGAGGAAAAGAAGTAATACCCAAACCAGCCACATGGTTGAAAATATAGCACGGCTTTGTCTCCTGTGTTCAAGTTTGTCATGATCATCTCCCCTGGTGAATCAATCCAAGTTCGTCCAAAAATTAAGTTGTTAACTTTTGTGGGAGGGGGCACCAATTCGAGAACTACTCCATCCCTCTTGAGGGTTACACGTGTCCTGTAAATAGATTTATCAAAAAAAGTTATGCATATACAATATGCAAACTTATCCTACAAACCGAAATACTTAGCAGATCAATCATAATATGTAAACAAAAATCATGCTTAGCATGAGTTCAATGATTACAAACAGTGGTTTTTGCAAATTGAACGTATAGGAACAAGGACAACTAAATATTTCAAAAGAAATTGGGACCATCTCTAAGTCATAACTAATTCTGAAATGCATATCCTGATTAATGATAGTTTCAATTGCACAGAAAAACTTCTTCCCTCTGGTTCTGTCAGAGGATACAAAGCAAAGCAAAAAAGGACAAGAACCTCATAAAAATTCCACTCAGATCCTCCTTAACGCAAACCATATTTGATAAATCTACAAGTAAAATTACAAAACCTTTTATAACCATCAAAGCAATTATGATCTTAGTTTTATATTTCCACAAACTAATGCATAGGAATTTAACTTCTGCAAGCTCTTCAAGAATATGCTGAATTGCTGACACTTAAAGAACCTTAAAACCTAAATCCATAATTTAGAGAAGGGAGGCAGGAAATGATTATTCACAACCATATCCAAGAATTGTTATGCTGGCATGCTGTAAGAGTTCTAAGCACTACCTTTAATCAAATATAAGGTACCTGCAAAGAAGATACTTATAACTTTGCTTTTATAAAAGTAAAAATCAAGCTCACATGTTGCAATACCAATACTACATATTTCAACATCAAGAAATTCTTTTCTTTTACGAGACAGTGCAAGATATCAACAAGAGTCAAGCCCCGGAGACAAGAGAAAGCATTCACAGTTTACCTTCCAACTGGATAAATATCAATCGAGTTTCCCAAAAATTTAGTTCTCAACTTCGAAGTCACATCATAAGTGAAGTGCTCATTTTCAGCATGTCCAGCACACATTGGGGGGTGATGACTAACCTGAACGAAAAATATGAATTAAAGAACGTCGAAACAGGCAAGTAATGAAAAGATAGAGCATAAATACTAGCTTCTTCAAAATTTTACGAGTTTTCCCACTAAAAACCTAAGATATATCTCAAAAATGAATGATTGCTTGTTTCCATCAAAGATATTAACACAAAAAGNACTTTGTATAGAAATCTCACAAAGATTTCTTTGTACGTCTAGCATTACTGTAATTTTGCATACTACCTTATGGCCCCCAAAAAAATAAAGATTGTCTCCGAGACAGAGTAATCATTAAAATCACCAAACATGCACTACAAAATAAGTGAGGAAAAGAAGTAATACCCAAACCAGCCACATGGTTGAAAATATAGCACGGCTTTGTCTCCTGTGTTCAAGTTTGTCATGATCATCTCCCCTGGTGAATCAATCCAAGTTCGTCCAAAAATTAAGTTGTTAACTTTTGTGGGAGGGGGCACCAATTCGAGAACTACTCCATCCCTCTTGAGGGTTACACGTGTCCTGTAAATAGATTTATCAAAAAAAGTTATGCATATACAATATGCAAACTTATCCTACAAGCCGAAATACTTAGCAGATCAATCATAATATGTAAACAAAAATCATGCTTAGCATGAGTTCAATGATTACAAACAGTGGTTTTTGCAAATTGAACGTATAGGAACAAGGACAACTAAATATTTCAAAAGAAATTGGGACCATCTCTAAGTCATAACTAATTCTGAAATGCATATCCTGATTAATGATAGTTTCAATTGCACAGAAAAACTTCTTCCCTCTGGTTCTGTCAGAGGATACAAAGCAAAGCAAAAAAGGACAAGAACCTCATAAAAATTCCACTCAGATCCTCCTTAACGCAAACCATATTTGATAAATCTACAAGTAAAATTACAAAACCTTTTATAACCATCAAAGCAATTATGATCTTAGTTTTATATTTCCACAAACTAATGCATAGGAATTTAACTTCTGCAAGCTCTTCAAGAATATGCTGAATTGCTGACACTTAAAGAACCTTAAAACCTAAATCCATAATTTAGAGAAGGGAGGCAGGAAATGATTATTCACAACCATATCCAAGAATTGTTATGCTGGCATGCTGTAAGAGTTCTAAGCACTACCTTTAATCAAATATAAGGTACCTGCAAAGAAGATACTTATAACTTTGCTTTTATAAAAGTAAAAATCAAGCTCACATGTTGCAATACCAATACTACATATTTCAACATCAAGAAATTCTTTTCTTTTACGAGACAGTGCAAGATATCAACAGAAGTCAAGCCCCGGAGACAAGAGAAAGCATTCACAGTTTACCTTCCAACTGGATAAATATCAATCGAGTTTCCCAAAAATTTAGTTCTCAACTTCGAAGTCACATCATAAGTGAAGTGCTCATTTTCAGCATGTCCAGCACACATTGGGGGGTGATGACTAACCTGAACGAAAAATATGAATTAAAGAACCTCAAAACAGGCAAGTAATGAAAAGATCGAGCATAAATACTAGCTTCTTCAAAATTTTACGAGTTTTCCCACTAAAAACCTAAGATATATCTCAAAAATGAATGATTGCTTGTTTCCATCAAAGATATTAACACAAAAAAAAAAGAGAGAGAGGGAGGATAGGACTACTAAACTCACTTGTTCAGCTATAAACGTAATGCCACCATGATTAACCAATTCATAAGTTTCACCAAGAATAGGATTAAAGGGCTTCCAGGCTCGTTTGTATGCATAGTAGATAGATATAGCCCATGATGCTGCAATCAGCAACCGTAAGTCCCCACAACAAAAAATAGAAATGCAAAGAGACAGAAATAGAGGGGGATTGTAAACAGTTCTTACAAGAATACACCAATCTCATGTAAGGATCCTCGCATTTATCAGCCAGATCTAGCAGGTTGGAGTACTCCATCAACTGTCAGAAAACAACAAACGATATGTAAAATCCCATAGCAGAAAAACATCAAATAGAATAAGAACTTAGATGCCATGAAAACCAAATACAAAAATCACAAACCTCTGCCATTCTCTGAAGGTTCGTACTTGGCTCACAAATAAGTACCGGAAGTGTCACCATCGATTGAACATCAGATCCTATATAGTTCTGCATCATCTTCCAGTAACCATCCCGATCCTGGAAAACCAAAAACATCAAGAAGTGAATAAGCATCTCTTTGATTAATTATACTATACTACAACACCAACAACTGAACATACAATAGAGCACTCTCAAACTTAAATGTACTAGTTGGTGGGCAGACAAATGTTCTTTGATGGTATTCAGTTTTGCAACATTTGACCCTTCCCTGTCCCATAAAGATACTGTCATCTCAATTGATGTAAAATATGCTCACATCACAAATCCATTCCAAGAGGCTTGACTTCGGACAATGGCACACTAGACTAAACTTCATTACTAAAGGATTACAGTACTGATTCAAAACAATATCCAAAAAACCATGATCCTAAGCTCTAATACATAATATGTTAAAACATTCCCTACTAAGGAGGCCTCTAGCATTTTTCTAAACCAGGAGTCAATCTATTATAAGGCCAACGCGAGGAGAAGCTTAATGAAATTTACCCTTTACATATATATATAGAACAGGAAGAGAATGTAATCTACTTCTCACCTCTTGCTTCCATCTTCCTTTCTTTGCTTCCTCTTCAGCATCTTCTGTGCCTCCTTCTGGATTAATAACTTCCAGCCCTTCATAACCCAATAAACTGAATAACAAAACCACCAAAATGTGAGCATGTCAGAATAAGTCACAAAAGGGTCATGATACTGCACAGTAATCCAAGTCTGTACGTTGTGTTATTGTTTAATTATCTAACCAGTTTGACGCTAAATGTCATATACCAGTATAATTTAACACAAAACTGCATTGACTTTCAACAAACAGAGAATTCAAAGATTAGATGGGACAGCGTACCAAAGCATCCATATGATCCTCCAATAAAATCATGTCATTCATAGATTTATTTTCTTTTCCATCTTTTCAACTTCCACCATGCTTAGTTAATTTTAATATTAATATATGTGACATGATTTTATCGTATATCTGCTAATCCCAGTAACCTAGCTAAACCTTATAAAAGCATTAATCAACTCCTGTGAAACCAGGAAACTAAGATCCGGAAAAAACTGATAATTTACAGACTATACATGACACAACTGCCTATTTTAGCAATAGATGCTCCAAATCAAAGAGCTTGTTTAATTCAAACTACTAAAAGATGATCTATAAAAATAAATCTATCAGTTAAATTTAGTATTACTGTCATAATTATGAAGGAATTACGAGATCAGAACACTTCAGGCAATTCAAGAAGAAAAAAACAAAACAGATCTCATAAAGCAGAAGACATAAATTTTAAGATAAATAAGGCAAAATACTTAATAATTAAATCAAATCAGCAAATACAACATCACAAAAAGTTGAAGTCAAAGTACCCGTTGACCGATTTGGTCATGGCAGAACCAAAAGTCGACAAACCGGAGGCGATGGACGCGAAGAAACCACCACCTTGCTTCGGTTCATTAGAAGCCATCACTGAATTAACAATCTGAAGTGAAAATAAACCCTTGACGCTATGAAATGAATGAGAACAGAGCAGAGCTAGAGGGACGTTATATTGGTGAAATTAATTTAATTTAAATTTCGTAAATTCTTTTGATTATTTAATAGAGGAACAGCTCGATGAATGGAATATTGCCCATTGGCGGTACTTTGTTTTGAAGTCAAAAAAATGGAAAAATCATGAATGCGCGTTGCTTTCTAGATGTATATATTATTCACGCGTTCATGGGAGGGCGTGGGATTTAGCTGCCGTCGTAAAATCCAAGTCGGCTACTTTCGTGGTAAATACGCGTACCAAACCACGCAAAATCACAAACCTACAAAATTGCCGGCACGGCAGTTTAGCTTCCCGTCCAGTTACTCCCGTACGGTGCTATGCCGCGTGGAAAATTAATTTGGATTAATAACAATAATCTCCTTTTAGGTATAACTATAAAGTAAGGTTTTAAAACCTGACCCGAGTCGTTCGATTCAACCAAGACCTGAGGCCTTCATCAGATCGGGTTACCAATTTTTACTGTTCATGAAAAACCCTAGAGAGGAGAACGAAGACCGATGAAAAATTAGTAGGTAGGATGTTGGGGGTTTTGAAGAGGAGAGGTCGATGAGTCTAAAGGTAGTAATGAAGACAATTTCCGGTGGGTGAAACAATCGGAAATCACAAAAATGCGCAGCAACTTGCTAGCTAATGAGGACGACAATCGACGAGCAACTGGTTGTTTTCGACAATTGGCGAGGTGAATGGGGGTGGGGTGAGATGGGTTTTGGTCAAGAGATTGAGGGGAGTGTTTTTGTGATGATGGGAAGTGTTGTTGACGTCGGAAACAAGCCATATTTGGTATGGGTTGTCGATCGTCGATTTGCATTGGGGTGTTTTTACAAGATTTTAAATATATAGAGACCTATATGTAACTTTTAGGGGTGTTTTTATTAGATTTCAAACTTTTTTTACATGCTGATGTCACCAGTTTTAACAGACAAGTTAAACCGGTTCAACTAATCAACCCGAGACTCGACCATTTTGTCAGATTTCACCCAGAGCAAGGTTTTAAAACCTTACTATATAGTCAGTGGCGGATCTAGCCACATGGCCCACCCTCAATTTTTTTTTTTTATATTAATATGTATAATTTATATATTTTGGCCCACCCTAACAAAAATATTAATGGACAAAAATAGTAATGTATAATAAATTTTTATTTTGGCCTACCCTAAAAGAAATTATTGGATCTGCTACTGTATATAGTAGTTACAAAAATAACATAAATCTTTTTATTATTAATTTTTTGTGTTAAAATAAATGGTAAAAGAGCAATTAGATAAATTTTCATAAACCTATCATATTATAAATTCTAACTTTACACTAATAATTATTAAGAGAAGAAAGATTTTTGTTATTTATAAAATCTCAAAGAAGCTTTTATTATTTAATTAAACCTCGGGTAAAGTGAACCCTTAATTTTATCCAAATGGTATTTTCTTGCATAAAGAAATATTTTTGATGTAGTCGGAAGAAAGACCAATTAAATCACAGTCAAAATAGTGACTAATTTATAACATTATATTTCAACATATAATGGGTCAAGTGGGCATTGAAAATCATGGGGGCCATCATCAAATTTAAATAAAATAGTAATGCAAAGAGATGAAGTGGTTCTCGCTGTCGTCGTGATAACTTTATCTATAAATTCCTGTCATGCACATGCACAGGCAGCCAGCGGTCGCCGCAACGTGCTTCTGATCGAGCATATGCTTCATCCCCTTCTTATTTACCGCATCAATTGTTTTTTATTTTTTATGACAAATTGTCGTCTGGATGACTCGGTCTACTATTTAGAACATTCTAATTTGGAGCCTGCTGTTTTGATGTAGCAGGAAACAGTTTGACCGTTGAATAATTAGCCTGACTTCTAAATTCAAATGCTTAATTAAATAAAAATTATACTGGATACTTTAAACAGATGGATCTGTAGAAACACATGATTGAGATAGCCTACCCACCCATATAATAAACAAATAGAATAGGGAGATAATAACAATGATGATGAGTGTTGATTTAATGAGATTTTGAATGACTTTTCTTTGCATTTAAAATTTCTTATTTTATGAATTCAAGGATTATTTACAAATAAAGTATTCGCAACTTCCATGACTAAGCAAACAAATTACATGAAAAGAAGAAAAGAGAAATTGTTGGGTTAGGAATTAAAGATTGGAGTAGGTTTTTTGATGACATATTTTACGTGTTAATGTAAGTTGCCTTATTCTGACATTCAATTCAAGTTGGTAGGCTGCTGACTTACCGCCACTGTTTCTGACCCTCTTCAAGGCTTTACATTAGGATTTCAGAGACCAATTCATCTTCCTATATGTTGCAGTCATTTTGATCAAAATCTGCCAAATTGTGTTCCCACTTCCCAGTTGAGTTTCAATGGCGACGAAAGAGAAAGATCCTCCATCAGGAGCCCAGATCAGGGCCAATTCCAGGCAGGCCAACGGCAATGTTATACACCCAGTAGATATAGAGACACAGAAGCCTCAAGTGTCTACCCCAACTCCAGTTGTTTATAAAGAAATCAAGCATTTCAAGAAATGGTTTCCTTGGTTAATTCCTTGTTTTGTGTTGGCTAATATTATCATGTTTGTCATCACTATGTACGTCAACAACTGTCCCAAGAACTCTGTCTCTTGCATTGCTACATTTCTCGGTAGATTCTCGTTCCAACCCTTTAAGGAGAATCCTCTTCTTGGCCCCTCCTCGATCGCGTAAGTACTTATGAGTATGAATTTACCAGAAATTAAACTGAGATGTATGTTCTTTTAGTTTAGTTTTCGTTCATTTGATGATTAATTTGTGGGTGTTTTGGTAAAGAAAGTTTGATGTGTTTTATTGCTGTGTTTAGGCTGCAGAAGATGGGAGCTTTAGATGTTGGGAAAGTGATTGACCAGGACCAGGGTTGGCGCCTCATCACTTGCAATTGGTTACATGGAGGAGTTTTCCATATACTGGCAAATATGTTGAGTCTTTTAGTTATTGGAATTCGGCTTGAGCAAGAATTTGGGTTTGGTATGTATTTCAATTTCAAACAAATATGCATATTTCTTCTGGGTTATCATGAGGTAGTTGAAATTTTAAGATATAAAGACTATAAGTGGCACTACCAACTAATTTCTGCAAAGTTATGCTCTGTATGCAACTTAAAATTTTGGCATCAGGATCTTTTACTAGTTAAATATGCATCATGACCATGTTGACTTAATTTTCCAGTGACATTCTGAAGAATCGCTATATACATGTCAGCAGACTTCTATTTGATAGTTTTCTGTCCATTCTTGCAACAAGCTTGCTTGCTATAATTGATAAACTTGCTATGAGTCTTGCGATCAGGCATTTGTATGTGATTTTGAGTATATGACTCACTGTAAGTTGTCTTGGTTTACCATCAGTCTTGCTGCTGATTGAGAGTATTACTTGTTTATATACAGTGCGGATTGGTTTGCTATATGTCATCTCTGGATTTGGTGGGAGCTTACTATCAGCTCTTTTCCTCCAGTCAAATATCTCGGTTGGTGCATCTGGTGCACTTTTTGGGTTACTTGGAGGCATGCTTTCAGAACTCATCACTAATTGGACAATGTATGATAACAAGGTACTTATTGAAATGCTTTCTATTGAACTATGGATTTCCAAAATGAATGTCCCTACAGTAAGTTACATTGTTGGCCTCTTTAATCACCTTTTAACTCTTGTGGTATGTTCAGATTGCAGCATTTGTGACTCTTGTGGTCATCGTCGCTGTCAATTTAGCCATGGGAATCCTCCCTCATGTTGACAACTTTGCTCATATTGGAGGATTTGCTACCGGGTTTCTTCTTGGGTTTGTGTTTCTTATCCGCCCGCAGCTCGGATGGGTTACACAAAGATACGCTCCTCCTGGATATTCAGCTTCATCTAGCCATAAATTCAAGATGTATCAATGCGTTCTTTGGATTGTTTCTCTAATCCTCGTAATTGTGGGGTAAGCTTTAGAAATCTCTTTTTCATTTCTAAGCATATTGTCTTACAGTTATCGAGAAACAAAATTAAAACTCGGTGGCACAACTTCATTCTCTTATTTCTTCATTGATGTGCTTGTTTGGCTGATTTGACCATCCCTGTTCTTATAACCTTGAGATTTAAGTTAAGGAACTGTCAACTTACCACTCATGCTAACTTTTTTCCTTGTCTGTGCCTTGAGATTTTCCATGATACTATATGCAAATTTCTCCGCTTGATCAGTCATATAATCTTCTACACAAGGCTGTCATGTGAACTTCAACACTGTTGTTGAGGACCCAGTATTTTATTTAATCACCACAGGAATTCGGCTGTTTTTAACAGCATACTCGGCATTGTAGAATTTAGTTTTGAATTACTAACCTTTTTTTTTTTTTTTGACTTTGCAGCTTAACTGTTGGCCTGGTTATGCTTCTCCGAGGAGTTGATGCAAATGACTCTTGTTCCTGGTGTCATTACTTGTCTTGTGTCCCTACATCGAAATGGAGCTGCAAGACAGAGCCTGCATACTGCTTGGTAACTATACTAATACTCTCTTTTAATTTGTTGTTGTTTACAAGCTGATAAATAATGTTCACTAAAAGAATCTTGAGTGCTCTCCTTCCACTTTTAGTCAATGCATTAGCATTACATTGTATCCACTTTCATGATCAGTTGGTTACAGCTCTGCAATTCTTCATGATTCAAATGTTTTTCAAGTCAGCAGGCTATTCTTTCATGGTTCATATACCATTGTGCATTTGGCAAATTCAGCCTCCTGATTGAAATTACCTTATGATGTGTTTGATGGGTGTAAATATTTGATTATTGCAGTCCAGCCAAGTGGGGAGCCAGCTAAATGTAACATGTTCGAGTAATGGAAAATCGGGTGTTTACATGTTGTCAAATCCAAGCACTACTGAGATCCAGGGATTATGCACTGAGCTTTGCAGTTGATTTATGTTAAATACAGGAGGGGTGGAAATTGGCATTAGCCGCTTAGATGTATAAAATAAACTCTTGGTAGTTTGTTACACATGTTTAAATCTCCTTTTAATTTTGTGTAAATTGACCTTCATAATGTTAACAATAGTTGATTGGTTGCTTGATTTACTAAATAGATGTTTTACATGTAAAAGTGATTTTAGAATCTTGCATATATTTTTCCCCTTCTGCAAACTGTGTTCAAACAGAGGCTTCATTATTCTCCACCCTACAATCGTCACAATGGCTTTGAGCTGCAATGCATTGCATTTCAACTATTTGACACATCAATATGACATGTGAAACTCAAGCCACAAATCAAAAAGAAAAGTCATTAACCCTTTTAGTAGTTTTATGGCCGTGTTTATTTTATTATTTTGAGTAGGTTATTATTACGAGGATAGAATTTGAAAATTAACAAAAACACCTCCTAAGTTTGTTATGGATCTGGCAAAAAAATGCCAGATATGTGCACAATGGGCTAGATCCAGCCAGTTGTGAGCTGTTACGGCGATTTCCAACCACTCTTTGGTAGTGTTGGTCGGCTGTCGGCATTTAATGCGTGAGTGGGGGTGTTTTTGTTAATTTTTAATGTTTTATTATAAGGGGTATTTAGCTAAATTAACAAACCTAGGGGGTTTAAAATAGTTGAATAGAATATGATTGAATTTTGAGAATAAGGAAACAAATATGTATATTGGGTAGGATAGTAATAGAATAGGGGAACAAACGCAACTAAATTATTCAACTAATGAAATTTTAAATTGTCAACAACAATAAAGGTAAGCTTTTGACTTTTATTTTATTTATTTAATTTGGATGACCAAAGGTGTCTAGGCCAGCTTACGCATACCTCAACTAATCTCCCGAGACCCTACAACTACCGGCCGGATAAAAGCTCTAATGGCTACCCCTATTAGTACCCAAAGATGGATTTGAACTTAAGACCTTGTTGTAACATGAGAACCAAAAACAGAACACAAAAATGCAGTATTCGAATCCAAGCCAAGGCCGCAAATTTACAGCAATAATCAGATATAATGAAAAAGACAAGAAAATAAAGAACACCAGATATATAGTGGTTCAGTAATATGAAAGATTACCTACATCCACTCTTCAGGGCAAAAGAAATAGAATCCATTATGAGAAAAATGAGAAACCTTACAGACATTAGGCTCACCCCCTTTACACAAGGTACAACCCGATAAAAACCCCTCTGATTTACACCCGTACACCCAGATGCTCTCACTTCTCATACATACATCAAATAGGCAGAAATTAGAGGCCATTTATACAACAAACAAAAGGGAAACAAATAGGACAGCTAAGACCTACCATCACCGTTTGATTCCATCGACGTTCTTTGGATTTCTAGCACAGCATATTCCAACCGTTTTCTCTCTCTGTTAACCAAGAGAGAATGATCGAGAATAAGCTGCGCATAACCTAAATCAGATTAGGTTTATTGAAGATACTAGAAAGACTGAAATGCCCCTTAAGTCAATAGAAATTAACATTGACCACCCAAGGTAAAAGTTGACTTCCACGTGTGTGAATATCAAGTGTCACATCACAACAAACCTCTTGAGTAATACACCTAAAAGTTTCTATCAAACCACTTAGTTATCCAAGAGTCCCTAAAATGGTGACTTCTGACCACCCCCTGGCAGTGGTGGCCGGCTACCGGCATTTAATGGGTGGGTGGGGATATTTTTGTTAATTTTCAATGTTTTTATTGTAAGGAGTGTTTAGCTAAATTAACAAACCTAAGCGGTTTAATAATAGTTGAATAAAATATGATTGGATTTTGAGAATAAATAAACAAATATGTATATTAGATAGGATAGGGAAACAAACACAACTAATTTATTAATTTATTCAACTAATGAAATTTCAATTTGTCAACAACAATAAAGGTAAGCTTTTGACTTTTATATTATTTATTTATTTTGGATGACTGAAAGTGTTCGGACCAACTTACGCACACCTCAACTAATCCCTTCAGACCTTATAACCATCGATCAGATAAAAGCGCTAGTGGCTCCTTTTATTAGCATCAAATGAGAGATTTGAACCTAAGATTTCTTGAGTAATACACTTAAAAATCCCTATCAAACTACTCAGTCATCCAAGAGTTCCTAAAATGGGTGAAATTTTAGGTGAAGCATTTAAGAAAACTATTTAAATTAAAAAAATTAATGTTAAGAAATTTCATCCCATCTTAAAGATAAATATAATATCAAATTTTACCCAAATATCTTGTATTCAAGTCCCATCAAGTGACCACCTATTACATTTATGATTTATCTGATTCATTGAACTTATAGAATATTCAATAAACTCTAAGAATTAATCGAGGTGGGTGCAAACTGCTTCGGACCACCCGATCACTAAATTTCGTAAACTATTTCATTCTTTAAAAGGAAGAATCGGGTTGGGTTAAGTCAGTTGAGCCCATCTCGATCAGTAGGCCCAGTAGAAGAAGGTCCAAGCCCATATAATGCCACGTGGATTGTTGTCAGGGTTCGACTTCACGCACTCAAACCAAATCCTCACCGGATATTTTTCCATTTCTTGTCCAGAAACACTCAACTCTCTTCGTTTTTATTTTTTGCCTCTCTATGTATCCTTGCTCTTCCCTTACTTTATGAACTCTAATTTCAGTTTTTCCTTCATTTAACGGATGATTATGGCCGTTAGAGTGGTTAACACTTGTTCCATCGTTCGGTCCACTACTTCTCCTCCTGTCGCTGCGTTTCAATGCCGATTTTACCATTTCCGGACCTTGCAGCTTCGCTGTCACTCCAAATCAGGGTTCCGGTTCCCGATATTTTCGTCCGAGCAACAGTTTCTTAGCCATGCCGGTTTTCGCAGCTGTTCCGTTCATAGTCTTGTTGACAGTGTCATGAAAGAGCTCAAAACCATGCGTAAACGCAAAAGAGTTTCCGCCAAGTAAGCTTTATCTTTTGTTGAAATATATAAATTTTTTGAATTGTGAACTATTACTTTGTATTATTATTCTCAAGGTATGGAATTTGAGTTTGGAAGTGAATTGCTTGTAGCTTTAGTGGGAGAATTGTATAAGATAATATGACTTCAATTGAGCAACTTTTGTGGCTCCATTTTAGTTCAAAATGTAGAAAATAGTCCTTGGAAGTAATGGATTCTTCAATCAAATATGAAATTAGTGAATTCAGAAGTGACAGTTTCTTTGCCACGTTGCTTATATGAAAAGGATATCATCCAGAGGTGTTAGTGGATGATTTTCAATAACGCAAAAAAAATTATTATTCGGAAAAATAAATGTATTCAAGGATTAGAGAGATATATAGTGGGGTAAGGAGAGAAACATTCAGAAATTGAGAGAATGTGAGTTCAGAAGATGTGTAAATTGAAAGGCACTGAATTTAAAGTAGTAGTTAAATAAAATAAAAAATTAAAAAAAAGTCCAAAATCTTATCCAGAGACTACAACTTATCTGTGTAGAAATAGAGGGGGTGATACAACATACATATAAAAAATAGCTTTGCACGACAAAGTTGAAAGCTGAGTTTTAACAAGATTATTAAATTGTTTCTCTTGTTAATGAAGACTAAAAGTCGTTTGAAAATGATAAATTGAATATGTATGAACATGGTTTGGTACATTGAGGACCATCTTTCTTTGTTTGATTTAGTTTGTAAATTTTATTAACTAACGTGAATGACTATTACTTAAAAGTTGTTATAAATATCACAACAATAATGATTAAGAGAGTATAATAGAAAATGCTGATGAGATTTGAAGTTAATGAAATTTACTAGGAAATATTTTCAATATGTTGGATGGCTTTGATATGGTTGAGATTTGACAATGATTAAATTATTAAATTCATAAGCTATTTTTTCTCCAAAAATGGTGGCTCCGCTTTCCTCTGCCACTGCTAACATGGCTTCTTCTTTCTAATAAAGGAACAATATATAACTAGATAGAAGCATATATAATTACCAGGATCATTCTGTATCTTTTCTGTCTTGACAAGTGATTTAGTTGAGAGACAAATTTTCTTTTTCTTAGTCTCAAAGAAATATCTTTCCTGCCAGTCGTCAAGATAAAGTAATTCAACCAAACTAATCTTTCTAAGGGCTAAAGCACTAGTCTCGAATCAGAACAGCATATAAAAAAACTTCTTCTGACTTTTGCTTCCCTTCATACTGTCTTGGTATTCATAGTTAAGTGTGCTTATGTGTGTATTTATTCATTTATTGTGTTTTGCATTGCGAATTTAATGTGATAGTTATTCCAGGGTGGGTTTGTCAGGTGGAGAGCTTCTTGTAAAGAAGCTTGAAAACCAGGTACTGCAGAAAGGGTTACTGCTGGAGTTCAAGAAAGATTCTGACCGAATATTGCTGGCAGTTGCACAGAGACCTGATGGGAAAAAGAACTGGATGGTGTCTGATCAGGTTCTAGTAGAAACACCTAATGCGGCATGTTCAATAGGTTGCTAGGTGTTGAAAACTATTGTTTATTTCCTTAATATGAACAGCTGTGGAGTTTTCAGTTGAGTGTTATTGTTTCTTGACCTTCTTATGCAGAATGGTGTCTCGTGCTCCATTAAACCACAACAAATTACATTTATCGTCCCAGGTGTTGAAAACTTTGATCATTCGGAGATTTCACAATTTCTGCAGAAAGCTCAGGATAACTTGGTTTGTTTTTCTTGCATACTGAAGATGGCAACTATTGTGTGTTTTCCAATCTGGTTGGTAAGTTTGTAGTTGTTCTGGTGCAGGATCCAGCACTTCTTGAGTTTGCTTGGGTTGAGCTTCTTGAAAAGAATAAGTCAGTCACTGCTGAAGAACTAGCGGAGGTACTGTCTTTTATTGCTAGAAATCTGTCTTTTTGCTCCTTTAATGATCATACCTTACTCAGCAGATGACTTTTGGAAGTGCGGAGCCTCTTGAAAGCTATTGTGCCCATCTTCTGCTTTCAAAAGATGAAATCTATTTCAGTGTGCTTGCAACTAAAGGTTCTCGCTCAATTTATGCACCTCGATCTACTGCACAGGTACAATTCATATGGTAGATGTTCCTCATGTGTTGTGCACACTGAAATAGTTTTCTCCTCTACTGTGTTGTTTGCTAGATACAATATGTTGAAACCAGATTTGCCTTCAAGTTAATGATGTTTTATGACTTATTGATGATAGTCTGGCATATACCAGAAGTTTATGAAGCTCAACCTCTTGGCTGAGCAGTGATTAATATCTTAATGCTCTGATTGCCTCTATCCATTCAATGATTGCATCCCATTCCTTTGAAAAACTAGGTAGAAGAACTTTTACGTAGGAAGCTTGCAAAGGAGGCTGCAGAGAAAGAACTTCAGGAGTTTGTGCAACAGCTTATGTCTGCTAAGGCAATGCCTGCTCATGCTAAACCTCTCAAATCTTCGTGGAAGGTTGAAGAGAAAGTCCAATACAAAATTGAGTCTCTTGAAGCATATGCTATCGATGCATGCAAAGATGATGATCAAAAGAAAACTGCCGGGATTGTAACTTGTCTAACTTGACTGTATTTTTGTTTGATGTGCGAATAATTGTGCTTGCTGGATGTTAAGATAAACTTGTCTCTATGCAATCTCAAAAGTTTCTGTTTCAGAACAAAAAAAAAAAAAAAAAAAAAATTTAATTTGTTCATGTGATCTGTGCATATCAACAGCATTTTTTATTTCTTTATATTCAAATTAGCATATTTTTCTTGTCAGATCCTTAAGGCAATGGGACTAGCAAAAACAGCATCCTCAGCAGTAAACCTCCTCATAGATATTGGGTATTTTCCTGTACATGTCAATCTGGAAGTTTTGAAGTTCAACATTCACACTGATCATTCTGAAGAGATTATATCAGCTGCTGAAAGTGTTCTGGTAGATTCACCTGATGAAGACGAGGTAAACAATAAAGCTCTTGATTTTGAAATACCTATCCAATTAGATACTCTTAGATCCTAAGAATAATTATCTACTGAAAGACATCTAAGATGTCGTGGAGTGCTGTGATGTCCTTTCTGCAAATTCTGACCTTTCACTCCCCAAGAAAGGAAAAACATAACTTATTTAAAAAAATTATCTTGCCAGAAGAAGAAAAAGGAAAACATCGGAATATTTTTTATCGGGAAAGATCCTGCAGTTAAATTGAGTGTGGGGTCGTTAGAAGACATGTGAAATGGCTTTTGAAAATGTTTCCTATAAGTTGGATACCATTGAGACAGTAAATCACCCCTCAATGCGGCAAGTGACATTTGATATGAAATTATTGCTTTTTTTTTTTATGACATCCACTGAAGTCTTGTTGCTTATGCTTTTTTGTTGTTCTTCATGTTCAGCTTAATAGGAAAGATCTTACTCATCTAAAAGTTTATGCCATTGATGTTGATGAAGCCGATGAGGTATTTGTTATTCAAAGTTTTTCTGCTTAAAGTTCCTTGGTGACCTTGAATATTTGTTCCTTCAAATTGTTAGTCTCTAATCTTTAATTGCTTGTGGTGTAAAATATGTAGCTCGATGATGCTCTGAGTGCAACAAGGTTGCAGGATGGCCGGATTAAAGTGTATATACATGTTGCTGATCCAACTAGATATGTTCAGCCTGGGAGTATGTTGGACAAGTATCTTTCGAAATTCTATAGAGCATTTTTCTTATAAAAATTCCATATTGCAATCCTAGTACAACTTTTTCTGCTATATTAATTATTTTATACATTTTATGATTGTAGGGATGCAATGAGAAGAGGAACTTCTGTTTTCTTGCCCACTGCCACTTATCCCATGTTTCCAGATAAACTTGCCATGCAGGGAATGAGTTTGAAACAAGGAGAGGTTTGCAATGCTGTGACAGTATCTGTTGTTCTGCATTCTGATGGCGGGTAAATTTCAAATTTTATTGATCTCTATTTTTTTTTTTTTTAATTGTGTACTTGCTCTGTTTGTTTGTAAATTCAACATGGATATGATGGACTGGGTGTGACAATCTGAAGGCAACTTTTTCCCACCCGGAAAGTTTTTTTTACTATTTATTGTTAGTAAGAAATGAAGACTTTTTTGGGAAGTTTGGACGTCCTATGACCTACAAGCCCTTGCTATATTAATGGGCTTTGAAGTGATTGATTATGTTTCTGATATTTCTTAGGTAGTTCTATATTATTGCATGAGTGATCGTCAAATCAAAGTACGACCTCATTCTACTTTCATCTGAAAAAAAAATTTTTGTTTAGAATACTGGATGAACCCTTTCTAGATGTTCTTTATTTATTTGCTATTGTGATTGGTAACTATGGTGTGTGATAATTCATAATATTTGGCTATCTCAAACTTTGGTGAAGTGTATTCCCTTAAGATGTGATACGGTGCAGATCATTCCTGTTATGATTATGGATACTCTCTTTGATTATAGACTATTTTATGCATGTATATAATAGCTGCAAGTCTTGTAAGGATGATATTTGTATTAATGAAGACAATTTTGCACCCGATATGGGTAACACAGCATTGCAGAGTACTCCGTGGAAAACTCAATCATTAAACCAACCTACATGCTGACCTATGAAAGTGCAACTGAACTGCTCCATCTAAATCTAGAGGAGGAGAGGGAACTCAGGCTCCTATCAGAGGCAGCAGCTCTCCGGTTACAATGGCGTCGCAGACAGGTTGGGCTTGATTTATATTTCACAGTAGACTCCGAAGTAGGCAAATTTTACTTTGAGTTCCAACAACTTGGTTTTATTTTTCTGTGATTATTTCTCTTTGAATGAATGGCACTTTGTGATGACACATTTTTTCAAAAACAATGATGAAAACAGAGAGAAGCATGCATACTGTTAGTCACAGTTTACATACTCTATAATTTAAGGAACATATATGCATTGTGTTTTCCCAAAAAATTCCCTTGCATTGATTATCTGTTGATTTTGCAGGGTGCAGTTGATACTGTCACATTAGAAACTCGTATAAAGGTTTCCAATCCTGAAGATCCAGAACCATTAATTAATCTATATGTCGAAGACCAGGCTCATCCTGCAATGCGACTTGTTTCTGAGATGATGATTCTCTGTGGGGAAACTATAGCCACTTATGGTTCATGCAATAACATTCCTTTACCCTACAGAGGACAGCCTCAATCAAATATCGATGTGTCGGCATTTGCACATCTTCCAGAAGGGCCTGTCCGGAGCTCTGCCATTGTTAAAATAATGCGAGCTGCTGAAATTGATTTCAGGAAACCAATACGACACGGAGTTCTGGGGCTTCCTGGTTATGTTCAGTTCACATCTCCTATTCGTAGGTATTTGGACCTACTTGCTCATTATCAGGTTAGTTTCTTCTGATCTTCTGAACGGTCATTGGTGATAATGGATTGCAGGCCTTATAGATTCTTGACTGTTCTACAAGAACTTCAACTGTGTTGTACTCAACCTGTTTACTTGATTAGCTTGTTTCCTGGATTATGGACCCTACACAAAGTGCTGAATGTACTTCACATTACAGCATCTTTCTTCTTTCAAGCATACCAAAATCATACATTGTTTATGCATGTTGGCTAGTTATGCATTTGCCTTGTTTATTAGTGTTTTTTATCAAAAAAGAAGACAAAACTAGTGGTACTTCAATAATTGTGACCGTCATGGTTGATTTTCAAATGCTTACCCACCCCCACGACCAAAAAAGAAGAGAACAGCGTGTCCTAGTTTGGTGAATTAATATATAAAGCTAAGACGAGAGCAGAAAATGGACCTGATCCATTCTGTGAAACTTAAGACGTGTATTATGTTTGTGTAGGTCAAAGCATTTCTTAGAGGCGAATCTCCTCCTCTCTCTTGTGGCCAACTTGAAGGGATGGCATCTATAGTGAATATGCATACTAGAGTGGCAAGGAGGCTCAGCAGCAGTAGTCTTCGGTATTGGATAATAGAATTTCTGAGAAGGCAACCAAAAGATAAACGGTACAGTGCTTTGGTCCTTAGATTTATCAAAGATCGGACTGCAGCCTTACTATTGGTTGAGGTAAGCATTTAATGGTTACTAAGTTACTGATTTGACACCTTGTGATGTATTAGCCAGTTAAACTTTAAGTTGATACATCTGTTTAGGTGGGATTTCAAGCATCTGCATCGGTGTCTGTGGGAACACAAATTGGGGATGAGATAGAAGTTCAGGTGGAAGAAGCCCATCCACGAGATGATGTTGTTTATCTGAAGGAGGCTATTAGGTAGTGGAAAGAGATTCTTGTGGAATAGTTTGTTATGGAGAAGGTTGAAAATACTGCTTTTGATGGGTAAGCAGTGTTCCTTTGTCTACACTCATTTGACAAATCTAGTCTTAATATTGATTTTGTTAGAATAACTAGAATTTATCTATCTTGCAGTTTATTCATTGTCTTGTGACAACACAATTTTGTTGAGCCATGAAGTTTTCCGGAGTCCCATTCATTGAAACTAGTCAAATGACATCTGTGGGAAGATGTATCAATGAGCATCAATTATTCGTTAGAAGACTTACTTCCCAGGCTGTATCTATCTCAAGCTTACACTGTTTCAGATTGCTCAATGTCCAACCATGCAATGGAAAGCTTGCCGCGTCGTTTGTTTGCAAGTGTTATGGAGATTATGTCAATATTTGGTTGATATGGGTTGGTACTGCATCATCTGAAACAGAAAGATATTAATCGGCAGTCTTGTTTTTGGTATAGAGAAGTAACAAAATGAATTGTAATTTTAAATTATGAAAAAAATTATAATGCAGCAGTTTTACCTTTTCTTATAAGATTGTTTTGGTAATAGGTTCTAATTTTCACTTCATGAATTGAAAGTGCAGAATATGAACCCTTATCTTCATATTTTTCACACTATGATTTGGAAACTGAGATAAAGGTTTTGGCCTTGAAGGCTATTGGGCTGGTGGAGCAAATTTTTTCTTCGTGAAAAAGAAGATGGATGATTCTGTGGTTTGACGGAAGCATCATTCGCATGGTAAAATCTGATGGCTTTAAACTAAAAGACAGTTTGAATTGTCGATTTGCAATGTCTATAAATTTTACAGGATGATGATGATGGTAGTTGCCGACAAAAGCATATTGAGACATGCATTAATACACATCACGTAAAGGTACTGACCATATCTTAGATACGCAAACTCAGAATCTCTGATTTTGTTTATCTACGGAGAGACAAGCATATTTATCTTTTCTTTGCTGCCTAACTTGATGTTATATTTCTTTTTTAACTCTTTTCAATACTAGGAAGAAAGAAATGGAAAATGGCATTGGTGATTTGTGATATTATAAAGGTATTATGTCAACCCGTACCATCAATCAATTTATGGTAAAAATTGATGAAAGATCAAATATTCATAGATGAGTAGATGCATTAGTTGGTTTTATAAATGGAAACAATTATAAAGCTGTACATGGAGCCACCACTAGGATGTCTGATGGTAAAAAAAAGTAGAACGGAGGTTTTATGAGCTTCTTAGTTTGTGTTCTTTCGGACACTAATAAGGGTCACCACTAGAATCTTTACTTGGTTAGCAGTTTTAGAGTCTCGAAAGATTAGTTGAGGTGCATGCAAGTTAGTCCGGACACCTCAAGTGATTAAAAAAAATAAAAAAAATAGGACAAAGATGGAGCCCAAATGGAAGACTTGGATGGACGGGTCTTCAAGTTAAAACAATTAGACTAGAACAACTTGAATAGAATAAGGTAAAACTACATGGAGCATCCATGAACGTCAATAGACAATAATTGATATGTTCATGTACTGAATAAATAGTTACATGTATCATAATGTATCCCATCTATATGTTGAAAAGAATCAGTGGATCGAAAATCCAATTTTGTTGAGAAGGAAATAAAAAAATAAAAAACCATTTCAGAGGAGCTTCTAGGTCTTGCCTTAATCAGTCAGCTTGATGTAATATATGTTCACATATATATATAAAGGCTGAACGACTTACGCATACCCAAGATTTGTTGAAACGACAAATAGGTACCTTCCGTCATGTTCTGTTAGTGATTTTCGTTTGATAATAGTGAAAAGACTAAAATGCCCTTAAAAGTTTAAAATTTTAGTTTTTTATAAATTTAAAAATTTCTAAAAAACCCCATAGGTTTGCTAATTTGACTAAATACCCCAATATATAAATTTTTTATAAAATAACAAAAACACTCCCGCCACCCACAATGCCAGATTCCGGCCACCACCGCCGGAATCTGGCCGAAAAATTGCGTTACATCACAGACCCATTGGATCTGTGTCGTAACGCGTAGATCTGGCATTTCCCAGAAAGATCCGCGGCTAATCTGGCCAGAAAAGGTCAAATCTACGGCCAGATCTGGCCGTCAAGGCCGGAATCTTGCCGGAAAATTGTGTTACGACACAGACTTGTCGGATCTATGTCGTAACACGTCGATCTGGCATTTTCTTGCTAGATCCTCCAAAAAAAGGCTAGATTTGGCCGTCTAGGCCGAAAACATCTAGCCTTTTCCGGCCAGATCCGTGGCGGATCTGGCCGAAAAAGGCCAGATAGACGCGTTACGACACAGATCCGACGGATTTGTGTCGTAACACAATTTTCTGTCCCGGAATCTGGCATTGTGGGTGACGGGGGTGTTTTTGTTATTTTATAAAAAATTTATATATTAGGGTATTTAGTCAAATTAGCAAACCTATGGGGGTTTTTTAGAAATTTTTAAATTTATAAAAAACTAAAAATTAAACTTTCAAGGGTATTTCAGTCTTTTCACTATTATCAAACGAAAATCACTAACAGAACATGACGGAAGGTACCTATTTGTCGTTTCAAAACCTTTTAGGTTCCAACTTGTTGTTTCGACAAATCTTGGGCATGTGTATGTCGTTCTCCCTATATATAAATAGTGTAGTTGATATTATTAATGAGTTATGGGGACCATGGAGAGATCCAAAGAGGACTTATCATAGATTTCCTGTTTTAAATATAATTCACATCCAACTTCTCCAACGTCTACACCAAACGCCTAACATATATTGAAAATTCCTGCAGATCACTTATTGAAATTCTAAGACTTCTGATAACTGTGGCTCTCTTCTACAGCCTTACTCGATTCTCAGGCCACAAGAATTTTCATAAAAACGAAACAAAATTAGAATTTATAAATTGCCTGAGATTGACATATATTATATCAACTACAACATTTAGTATGGAAAATGACAAGACAAATTAACGAAAATATATTCCAATATCTACATGAAAGATTCAGAAAAGATTAATTTATTCTTGCAAGAGAGCAACATGAGAAGCTAACAAAATTTTGTATTTTACTATCTCTGAGTGGTCGAGTGGTTCGATAGGGATTTTTAGGTGTATTACTTAAGAGGTCTTGAGTTCAAATCTCTCCTCATTTGTTAATAGAGATAATTAGAGCTCTTACTAGGTCGGTAGTTTCAAGATTCTGAGATATTAGTTGAGGTGCGCGTAAGCTAGTCCAGACCACCCCGATCATAAAAAAGAAAAAATATGAGAAGCTAACAAAATTTTGTATTGTATCTGTGGTACCCATGTAATCCTTTTAGGTCACCCCATTTCAAGTTTGGACCAGTTTCATTCAATATGTTAAAAATTTCAACTGGTTCGAGATCCAGTAGTGTGGCCATTGTCCTAACTAAATAGACAATGTTGAATACAATAAATTCAGTTGAAATTAATAAAAATGGATCAATAAAAAGGAAATAAGAAATGGAAGTGTGCAAATGGATGAGAAATAGTCTGATTTGATGTCTCTCTGTTGTCTCCTTCGAAAAGGATTCATCCACATGCTTTCACTTCCATACGCATCCTTTGTTGCTTCCTTTTCTCTTCACATTCCTACTTTGGTCTCTCTCATCTCGTCTCAATTCTTATCTGTTTAATTATTATAATTAAGTTTAATTTAGTCTATGATTTCAATTAATTAGCCAGGGGTGATCGGTTCCAGATACCCTGTATTTTTTTAGGGAACCAGAATCTGGACCGGAACCAAAACCAAAATCGACAGGTTCCTAAGATTTGGAACCAGAACAATAATCGGTCAGCACCAATTTCTAGAAATCTAATTGGAACTGGAACCTAGAATGTAGGTTCTGGTTCTGGGTACCCTGGCAAATTTTATTACCCCCTATTTTTTTAAAAAGGACAAATACACCCTAAAATATCAATACACCCCAATAGTTTACAATAATTATAATTTAGTCCCAGTTCCTACCTGGATACTCGAACCTCGGTTCTAGTTCTGGTTCCCGGTTCCAATTTTCTAGAACTGGAATTAGATCCTAATTGGGTCTGTTCCAATTCTACCCTTTATCCCATGCAACCATGCTCATCCCTATGGGTAACCTAAACTAGTATAGTCTCTTCTAAGTATTACAATTAATTAGTTTTAATTAAAACTCTATCTCTCAAAGTCTAAAATTCTCATGTGCCCATGTGTTTTATGTTTTGATCTCCTATTAGAAAATAAACAAAATACTTCAGAAATAAATTATACTACGTATATTTGGGTATTATTAGAGTATTGAATAGATGAATTTATACCGTAAACATATACATATTTTGTAAATCTTGAATTATTTGCCATGTATTTCTCATAATATTTTAATTTTAAGTCGATACATCAACTATTTTTATCAACCTTTTAATTTATACATATAGTTGATTGTGTTTAAAAGGAGTTAACAACTTTTTCTCACTCAAATAATGGCTTTATGTCACTTTTTCTCAAATTTTAAAATGTGACTTTATTATCCAAATTTATATTTCGGCGGCAAAAACTATATGGGATTTTGATGAGTGATGATCTAAAAAAAAAATGGTGATGGTTTGAGGTCGCAACGATGCTGGAATCGGAAATAAAATATAAATTTATATAATATAATGATATTTTAAAAATCTATGAGTGAGAAAGTGTCATTATGCTATTATTTGAATGGGAAAAAGTCTTTAACTCTATTTAAAAGTGCAAAGATGAGTGATTCATAAGATATATTAATTAACTTTCCTAATTATATACTCCAATTAACAACAAAAGCAATATCTACTTGGCTTCCATTAAAGAAATTCTTTTAATTATAAAATAATAATAATAGAGATCATAAAGTCAAATTGGATTTATTTAATAAAATTATAGAAAATCAAAAGTCAAACCCACGTCACTCTATTCCATTGATTAATTAAATTAATGTAATTATGTGATTAATCGTAACGTATATGCATGCAGGCGCATCCGACAAACTATTACGTTTGATGATAACTAATTAAATAATATCTTAAGCATATGCATGTCCAATATTAATTAAATATAACCCATGATTGGAAATTTAAGTATATAATTAGGAAGATTATTCACTGACACAAGGCAAGAGTTGATGATAATAAATGGAGTATTTTTAATTAGTGGGATGCATAATGCATTATCTTATTACATCAAAATTAGAAAATTAATCTAGGAATAATTCCATGTGATTTTGGATTAACGGTATAAAAGATTTCAATGAAACTCTTACCTGACTGGTAGTTTCAAGGTTCTGAGGGATTAGTTGAGGCATGAACGTAGCCAGAATTCTAAGTAAGTGGGTTCAAAACATTAAAATTTATAAATTTACAATAAAATATATATTGAAGTAATAACATAAAAAATGTACTTTTAAAAGTTATATATATCAAATTATCAATTTTACAATTGTCCTCGACGTTTTTTCTTATTCTGAAAGCGTTGCATAATCCTCAAATCTCAACAACTCAGGGTTTTATTAATTCTTTAAACCATTCAAAATTAACTCAATAACTAACCAAAATTTATCAAACTCAACTTAAAATAACAACTAATTAACTCATATCTCAACATAAATAAGATTAAATCAAAACCCACATTAAAATCAAGTTATTTAATCTTCCGATTTCAAACTCATTTATTAAACTTAATAAAAACTCATAGCTCATGATCTTTCATTAATTAAAAAAGGCAAAAGAAAAGAAGTTTAAGTAAAAAAAAAAAAAAAAAATGAGCATCATCTTTTTTCGTAATACAAAGGAGTGACATTTCTTGAGTATTTAACCAAAGAAAAAGTATAATATGAGAGGAAATAAAGAAAAGAGAAAAGTTAAAAAATAGTTAATTAATAATTCATGAGGTCAATATGAAATTAAATTGGGTTAAAATTATAAAATTCATCAAATATTAATACTTTTTTTTTTTTAATTTTTAAAAAGTTGAGTGGGTTCAATTGAACCCACAACTCTCTATGTGGTTTCGTGCTTGAGTTGAGGTACATGTAAATTGATTCAGACATCTCGATCATAAAAAAAAAAATGATTTAACAAATGATGTTGATAAGTTATATTTGAGGAAAGGTTGCGATTTCCGAAAGCTACAC